GGAGAGTTCCCCGTGCCGCTTCTCTGGGGGCAGGAAAGGCGTGAGGTCAGGCAGAGACACTGAAGACACTCTGAGAGGGACTTCCCCAGTGGTCTGGTGTCTGAGACACCGTACCCCCAATGTAGGGGGCCTGGGCTCAATTCCTGGTTGGAGAACTAGACCCCACATGACGCAACTAAGAGTTTGCATGCCACAAGTAAAGCTCCTCCGTGCTAGAGCTAAAAACTAGGACCTGAGTGCTGCAACAAAGACGGAAGATTCCACATGTTGCAACTAAGAGCCAGTGCAGCCAAAGAAATAAGTAAATGAATATTAAAGAGGAGAAGCCACATGCACACCCACGGCTGATTCATGTCAATGTATGGCAAAAACCACTACAATATTGTAAAGTAATTAGCCTCTAATTAAAATTAATTAATTTTTTAAAAAGAAGAGATGCTTCTGAGGTACTGAACCTCCCAAGTATGCTTTATAAACTCTTTTGAATCCATGATATCTTTCACAATGAGGAGATTTTTTAAAGAGCAACATGGGACTAGAAAGCAACAATTATCTCATCCTCGTCATTATAATGGTAACGTGAACAACGTTTACTCTGTACCTCAGTCCTCACTGTTCTGTGAAGGACTCGGACTCCTGGGCCATGATCTCTTTCTGGTCTAGTGTTCTGTCATTCAGCAAAGAGCAGGCAGGTTTGAAGGAAACTTGAGGGGACATTTGGTCTATTTCTATACGTCCCAGAAGATTTGCCAGTTAATTAAAGCCAGTCCAGGCAAAAGTGACCCAGTTTGACTTGGAAATTCCACTCTCCCCTTCTCCAGGAAGAGATTACACAGCCTTGTTATGTAATCAACTTTAAATGTCTGAAAATGCTTCCTTCTGAGTTACCCAGATGTTCTATGCTTTGTGGTCTCTCAAAACAGTGAGATGATGCATTCGAAGTTGGAAAGCTTCGGGAGGCTGAGTCTAAGGGGAGCTGCCTGTTGGAAACGTCACGGTCCCCAACATCCAGAGGAAGCCGCCTACCCATTCCTCCAGCACCGCAAGGTGGAGATGCGACCTGGGAGACGCACGTGCAGAGAGGGAGCAGCAAGGACTGCTGGGCTGATGCTCTTCTTGGCCAAACAAAATTTTTGTCACGTTGGCAGTACAATTACAACTCGGTGATCTCTTAAAGGAAAACCCGCCTGTTGTGTGTTAACGTTCCTATATGCGACGGAAACTCAAAACCATATGTTTCAATATAAATATTTTCTGATCAGGTAGAGCAAGCATTCTGGTGCTCATAGCCCCCAGATTTGAACCGCACTTGAAATCAGGTTAACTAGAGCTAAATTTAATCATTGTGCAACTGGATTGGGTGTATACAACCTGGGGTATTGAATGTCCTACTTTATGTTGTTTTTATTCTCAATTTCATTTAGTTATTTCCTCAGGGACTGCAGAGCAATAGTAGGCAGCAAAGTAATGAAATGTGGTAAATCTGGTTAAAGAGAAATATGACTAAAAATACTTTCCTTTGTTTCATCTCAGCAGCCCCATATATAGCGTGGCTTTCTTTAGTTTATGAAGTATTAAAACTTTCTTTCTTAGGAGAGAAAAGGCAGGCTTGGATTTATTGCTCTGGGAAACATAGCTTGCTTAATGTTATAATATCTAAGAGTTCTTTGTTTCATAGATATGCCGTAAAAGTCTAGGTCATAATCATTAACTGCCTTTTATGTGTGTGTGGGGGGGTGTGTGTGCACATGCGCATGTGTGTGCGTGCATGCACGTGTGTGTGCGCTCATGTGCTCAGTCCCGTCTGACTGTAGCCCGCCAGGCCCCTCTGTCCATGGGAATTTCCAGGCAAGAATTCTGGAGCGGGCTGCTGTTTCCTTCTCCATAACAGTGTGTAGGGACCCATTAGAAGGACATGATACTGCTCTGAAGAGTGTCTGAAGTGTTAGTGTCTGCAGAGCTAATAATGTTAGCAAGCGTGTATACACATAGTTGGTTTCTTATCCAGTAACTTTGTCAGGATGAACCTCTAGACACTGAATTGCTGGGTGGAGAAGCATGAAGCAGGGCATCACCCTGGGCAGGACGAGCTGAGCCTCACAGGGCTGCCTGTGAACCCCACACCTCAGGTGGTATTGCCACTGCCCTTTGCCCTTGCTGCTCGCCCCCAAAGGCACCTCACTCTGCTTTCAAGCTGCTGTTATATTCTGGGAGCCCTGGGCACCCACCATCCTTCAGAGAACTGTCAGAATGCAACCATTATGAACTACAGCCCCATTTTACCATCTTACAGCCCCAAAAGTAAGACCTTTCTAGCTTCTACGCTGTGTGAGGGTTTTCTGGTTTTTGGTATTATTTTTCTCAAAATAACACACACACATACCCCATGAAATATAACCTACACATCAAAAAGTGCATAAACATATAGATAGAGTTTAATAGACAATTGTAAAGTCAATGCTTGCATAAAATAATATCACCCAGGGCAAGAAATGAAATGGAAATAACCACTGTTCCAAAAGGACTTCCCTACCATCTACCTGCCCAGATTACATTCCCTCTTCTCCCTTGGGAGGCACCACTGTACTGGATTTTTAAACAATTTCTTTGTTTTCCTTTATAATTTCTATAATTTTATTTTCCTTTTTAATTTTCATCCCCGAGGGCTTCCCTGGTGGCTCAGTGGTAAGAATCTGCCTGCCATGCAGGAGATGCAGGATACTTGGGTTCGCTCCCTGAGTCAGGAATATCCCCTGGAGGAGGGCAAGGTAACCCACTCCAGTGTCCTTGCCTGGAGAATCCAATGCACAGAGAAGGCTGGCAGGCTACAGTCCATGGGGTTGCAGAGTCAGACACGATTAACTTAGCACACATGCACCAATTCATCCTTAAACAACACAGTTGAATTTGTCCTCTCTTTGGACTACCCGTAAATGGAAGCTCTTTTGTTATCTTGCTTCTATATGTTTGTAAAATTCCTAACAGTCATTTAGATTGTGTTTGAGCTATTATGAACAGGGATAGTATGAAATCTTACATGTATCGGTGCCTTTCTGGACTCTGTTCCAGTGGTTTGTTAATCTGCATACCAATACCATATTGTTTTAATTATTACAGCTTTGTATAAATCTTGCTATCTGGAGAGCAAGTTCTCCCTTATCTTTTTTCCTCTAAGAGTCTTTGTTTATTCTTGACTTTTACATTCCTATATCAATTTTATAGGAAGCTTATCAAGTTCTAAAACAAATATGTTGAAATTTGGATCGAAACCTCTTTCGATTTTTCCATCATTGAGTTCTAATCTATGAACGTGACATAGTTCTCCATTTACTTGGATAGTATTCTTTAATATAATTCAATAAAGTTCCATTTCTTCCTAAAGGTTTTGGTATTTCCAATAGTTTTATGTGTCTGATACTATCTTAAGCTAAGTTTTGGCTTGAGGTTTCTTGGATCACCTTGGTGATACATGTTGGGGCAGAAATCCACCGGGGGGCCCTTCCTGGGGGAAGAGCTCGTGGAGCTGGTTACTGAGGGCTTCCCTTGACTGTGGGCACAGCCTTCAGGGTCCCAGCAAAGCAAAGCGCACGTGCCGCAGGGCGTGCGCTCCTCCTAGAGGAGCTCTGTCTCTGCGGGCTCTGGACTTCTGCATTTGTCTCCCTTCACTCTTCAATGTTATGAAAACACAGCTCCATTTCAAGTGTGGATTATCACATATCTTAGGAGCAAAAGTGACTTTGAATTCTCTGTTTACCTTTCTGGCTTTTTTCTTAGTTTTTTTTTTTTTTCTTTTTACTGTAATTCCTTATGTCATTTTGGTTCTTGGATGTTTCTATGAAATTTAAGAAAATTCGTCCAGCATTTTTAGTTGCTTTCCATGAGAGTGTTAGCTTGAACAACCTAGCATGCCATTATCAAAAACAGGAACTCCAAAAAGGTAGCTAGTTTTCAAATTCTGATCCAGACCAGAACAAGCATTTACCAAGCTGAGAACCAAAGGGAAATGAGGGCAGTGAGGCTGTATTTTCTTCATAAAAGTCCCATATTTCTTTCTTTTTGGTAGTAATGGTAAGGGGCAGAGCTAGAACTGGATTTGGAAAAGGCAATTTATATAAAATCCTTACTCTTAGAAATAAAACCTTATAATGATTTAAATAGCATGTTTTAAAAATTCCATTATGTTATTCATCTTAGCTAAACGATTATACTGACATATGTTCCCTCTATGTGCAGACCCAGGATTTTATTTTAAAAGCCGCTTAACTCATGTTCTTCAGAGATTTAAATATTTTATTCCAAACTATTTTAATGGTGAGATAAGTAGATATTTAATAAACCACAAAGCCAATTATTTTTTCCCCAAATTTCTCCTTGAATATGATGGCAGGTTTCTATTTTATAAAGGAATATATATATATTTTTCCTACATTTGTCACCTTCTAAAACATGATATAAGTTGTTATCTTTACCGTTTGTCTTTCTGCCAGTGTTCACTGGTATATCCCAAGCATCTGCAATAGCTCTTGGAACACAGCAAAGACTAAATAAATGTCTGTTGAATGAAAGAATGTGAGACTTTGGGCTTCCTAGTGGCTCAGGGGTAAAGAATCCACTTGCCAACGCAGAAGAAATGAGTTTGATCCCTGATCTGGGAAGAACCCACATACCACGGAGCAACTAAGCCCGTGGGCCACAACTGCTGGGCCTGTGCTCGTGAGCCCCGGAGCGGCCAGGCTGAGCCCACACGCCCCAGGGCGGGTGCTCCACACCGAGGAGCCCCGCAACGAGAAGCCCACATTTTGCAGTAGAGAGGAGTTCCCCACTCTGCAGCGAGAGAAAAGCCACATGCCAGCCAAGACCCAGCACAGCTGGATAAATAAATAAATGAAATTATATTAGAAAAAGGCATGTGCAACTTTGAGAACAAGGCTTTTGTTAAGGGGTGAGAACCTAAAATTGTTTACATGGAGCCAGCAGTAAATGCATGTGAAGAAATGGAATCACAGAGGTAAGAGAATTTATTATTTATCCAAGCCTTTCCAGTCCTACTTACAGTCACTCTGACATAGGGAAATACATCTATTTGAAAAACATTTCTTTCATTAAAAATAAACCACTATGACACCATGTAGGATACAACATAAGTATTTTAACCATCAACAAATAAAGACCATGACATCTTTAAGCACTTATCAATACTGACCATTCTTAAGTATCAGCAAATACTCAATATATTGTCAGTTTCAGCATAGCAGCAGATGATGTGAAATTTGAAAAACAGCAAACTGTTTAGTAAACTGGCTAGTCAGATAAAAGTTAATCATTGACTAACTCATATTTCTTACTTACTTGCTATGTACGCAATAAATAAAATATAAATAAAATGAGATATAAAAATTATAGTAATATATAATAAAATACAAATAAAATAGTGACATAGTAAGCAAAATTGTGAAATTTAAAATATAAAGTGTGGAAAAAAATTTTAAATGTCTGTGAAGGTGAGTTTTAACATTAATTTCAGCATACTTCGTTTTTAAATGCAATGGCTGAGCTTTTCAGATTCTGCATTTAGGCAAACAAAATCATTTATTTATGGTTTTAAAGTTGTAATGGTACTAAAGAAAAATGATTTGGGGGCAGAGTTAGGGGTATCCCACAATGCATATAGATAACCAAAAATTTAAACAAGAAAATAAGTAAGTTTCCCTTAATTAGACTTGGAATTATTCTGGCTTTCAAAATTATAATCTTTAAAATGAAACAAAAACTTCATTGATTTCTCCACTGAATTTGAACACAATGTGGCCTGAATATGGACTAGTAAATTATCAATCAATTTATCTTTATAGTAAATCATATATACATACACATATATGTATATGCATTTATATGTTATATATGTATATATATATTTGGTAAATTTTCATTTAGATATTATAAATATTACAAGATGAAAAATAAACCTACTCTATACCAGAAAACAGACTGATCCTAACATAAGCAGGCTTTTGCCATGTAGGCTAATATTTATCTAAAGAAATACTTTCCTATAAATTCTAAGTTTTAGACACTAACGGAATGAAGGAAGGGCTATCAAGATTTTGTATATAATGAACAGGAGGATACAATACACTACTTGATCAAGTGGATTTATCTTTTTAAATTATTTTGCTAAGTCTAATAGTAAACTAAGTTTTAACTCCTGAGGCATGATAACAGAACAGTAACAGGAAGGCAGTCTAGAGATACATGGAACAGGAGGAACACTGGTTTCAGGAATGAGTATGTGTTGTGGATGACTGATCAAGTCATCAAATATTTATCTTTATTAACAGTACTTTCATAAATATTTTCACCATAGCTCACAAAGTGACATACTGTTTTTTACTGCAGTCTACTAGTTGTCCATCATACTAGTTTTAGAATGAGAAAGACATATTCAAAACAGGGTTTAAAGCAGATGTACTTCCCTATGAAAATGGTAAAATAATTATAAAATAGAGATAACTCTGGAAAATAGAAATTTTTAGAGCAAAGGTATACAGTAAACTAACAAGGTACAATTTCAAGAGCAATAATTATATTTACAGTTTTGAAATAAAATTTGTGTTCATTTTTGCCCATAATAGCAATGGTTTAGTGAAGTAGTAAAAGCAGCAAGTCACACTAAAAAAATCTAAGTTCAACTTCTATTTGACTCTCTACTAGCTCTTTTTTAATGAAGGATTATTTCAGTGGGACATCAATAAGGATTTTTGGTTTCTTTAAATACCTTACCACAACAATTATATCACATTTTGTAAATTAAATATCTAAAATGTTTGAAAGCCAGAATAATACTTGTTAGAACAGAAGCTCCATTTCAGTTTCCCTCTTTTTAAATATTAGACCAAATGTCATTGTTGACATTTGCTTCGATATATTTATACTTCTACATCTTGGCCAGGAACCCAGAATGGAATGGGACTGCTGGACTCTAAACTACCCAGTCAACTGAAGTCTTATCACTGCAAGACTGAACGAATAAAATCTCCCTCCAGTATGCTGATTATATGATTGAAGGTTCTAGTTCTTCTGTGAAATCGATTTTATTTTTATGGAGGGCTTCCTGTTAGTTTGCTTATTAAACTAAAATGAAATTTAGTGATTCAACAAAGATATGGTAGACCTTCAAAATGTAATGTATATAAACACATTCTTTTCTTTTTCTTTAAAAATATTCTATGCTTTATCTGTAAGAGAAAACATATTTAGGGTAAAACAAATGATGGGCTGAATTCACTTTAAATTAGTATAGTAAAAAAGTGTGTCAATGATAAACAGATGAAACAGAGTGGCAAAATATTAACAATTCTTGAAGCAGGGTGATAGGTACTCAGAGGTTTTTTATACTATTATCTATATGTTCTGTGGTTGAAAATTTTAATAGTAAAAATAAAGAATCCAAGCAAGTTTCAATAATAAAAATAGTAAAGGTAAAATAAAGACATTTCCAATGAACAAAACTACTGTATAAATGGACATTTTGCAAAGATCTGTACTAGACTAATTATGTAATGTGTGTTGTTATAGTGAAAAGTTGGGAACAACTTAAATGTCAATCATTAGGAACAGTCAAACACAGTAACAATGTATTTGATAGCAATGGAATAGTATCCAACGATGAAAAAGCCTGTCGAGTGAAAAAAGAGTTTCCACAGCAGCATATAGAGCCTGATTCCTTGTTCACAGGAGTGTGTGCATGTCCATCCATTGTTCAGAGTGGTTATCTCTACAAAGAGGAATTGCAGGTGGTTCATTACTTTTAACCTTTTCCTGGGCCTGTTTTGTATTATTCAAAAATTTTACAGGCATATATATTAATTTTATATTTGGGGGATATTGTTTTCTATAACGATATCCTATGATTTTTCTCATCATGTTATTCTTCCTAGCTGATGGAATTATTTTTTTAATTGTTAAAAATTGTGTTAGGTCTTATGTGATTCAAAGAGGGCTTCCCAGGTGACTCTAGTGATAAAGAATCTGTCTGCCAATGCAGGAAACTCAAGAGATGTGGGTTTGATCCCTGGGTTGGGAAGATTCCCTTGAGAAAGAAATGGCAACCTACTCCAGTATTCCTGCCTGGGAAATTCCATGGACAGAGCATGGAGGGCTATATTCCATGGAGTCACAAAAGAGGTGGATAGAACTAAGAGACTAAATAACAAAAAATTCAAAGTGGCAAAGTGCTATACTTCTAAAACAATATGAAACTCAGAGTAGATTTCATTATCTTAAACAATGGAAATAAAAATAAATGAAAATAGACTTAATTATCTTTTGGTTAATTCAAATCAGGCCAAAATTCTATTAATTATGGAAAGAAATAGTATTTGGAAGAGAAAATAAGAAAATGCTTTCTAATTTGTTCATAATAAACTTGAACTGAAAATATTCCAACAATTCTATGCAGAAAAATATTCGTGTATATTTTAGTAACATGTCTGTTCTTAAACGGATGGCAGGACAAAATAAAATGCTTTTTCCAGATGCATGGTTTTGTGATTTCAGAGCTGTGGACTAGCATTTTCAGCTAAATCTCAGGTTTAACTCTAGTTAGCACTGTAAAATTCTTTGGAGTAAACTTGAACTTAATGATTAACTTTGGAAACATCATTTGAGGTTAGTTATCTCGGGTGAGAGTCCAAAAAGCAGGTGTTCTAACGGGTGTGAAATCTCACATCTTCAGGCAGTCTGTTGCTGCAGTACCCTCCTCTGAGTCTGCCGAGACCCCAGAACACAGTGGGTGGGAGCCAGCGATGGGACCCCTCTACCTCACCCCTCTTTAGGGACCTCTTACAACACACCACAGCTGCTGTGCACAGTCCTTCGTCAAGGGCTGTACTTTCCCCACCATTTACTATTTCCTAGATTTTAAGGCTTCAAGGATTAAAGGTAGCTCCTTGGGTACATGAGATTGGGGACCCCTAATCTTGGTGATTCCAAATGTGGGTGATGTCACAAAAAACGACTCAGAAGATATCAGTGAAGTTACCTGCTGGATATTTCCTTCTTTCACATCCATGTCCTAAGCTTTAGGAATGAGAGACTTCTTGGGTTTTGATTCGTCCAAGTGATATATCTGTAACCAGATTGAAGAATTACATTTTATTATAAATTAATTGTGTATACTTTCAGGTGTGTTAGATACTCTGATTCTCAGTGTGTTTCTAGAAGATCTTTGGCAAATCATTTTTATCTTTATTTAGGGGGTTTAAAAGTGTATCACGTGATGAGTGGTCCCAGATTAAAATTGCGTTTTGGTTTTTTACCTGCTTCCTAGAAGCACGGGATTGTCCACAAAGGACAGTATTGGAGCGAGGCTTCTTTGATGTTTTTGGAGAGTCCTGACATAACTTCTTTTTAGACCTGGGGGCTGTTCTGCTGACTGTTAATCGGTGGTCAGTTACATCCGATTCTTTAGTTTGGCCAACTGACTGCGGCTCTGGCGGTTGGGAATCTTCCTGATCTGTGTCTGATTCAAAAATATGTGGCTGGCTTTTCACTTTTAGTGACTCATGGCTTTTCCCTAAAATCTGTGTTATATATTTGCTTGTCAAATTCTCTTTTCCATTCACTTGGGAGCCAACAGCACTTTTTATTACACCTAAATTGCCAGCTGGCATTTGAAATACTGAACTATTAGACAGTTGTTTACTTTCACTTGAACTCATGATCAATGATCTTCCACTAGAAAGTGGATTTTTTGTCATATTTCCATAGGACTCAGTGTTTTTTTCTTGCCGAGATCTACAAGTCTTGAGATTTAGATTTTTAGCCTTCATCTGAATGCTATGATTACGTTGTTTAGTAGTTGGATCTAAATTCGGTTTATCATCCTGGATCTCACTAGATTTAAGGGAAAACAACTTAGATTCTGTATCAACACGTTTTCTTCTCAGGTTCTCAGGTGGTAAGATACTTCTGTTCATCTGTAATGGTCGACTTTTGAAAACTGGTATGAATTTAGGGGCAATATTACGTTGGGGGCTAGAGCTTGTGTCTTGAACTCGAGCACTTCCTCTGTTGGGCGCGGGTGCTCCCAGTACTAGTGCGGCCTGGTCGGACAGCAGTTTCTTGCTGCTCTGCACAGACTCCGGTTGGAGGCGCAGAGCGCAGGACCCCGCGGGCTTCGGCCGGCTGGCCGAGGGCGCCCCCTTGTGGCCCGCAGCTGCTGAGCACGGCGGGAAGCTCGGAGCCTGGGAGGGTCCTGGGGAAGGGGCTGGAGCTGGAGCGGACCTGAACCTCTGTTCAGCCGTTAGATTGGGAAGCTTGACTTTGTTTTCCTGAAACGATAAACATTAGAAAATGTGATACTGTCCTTAAAGGAAAAGAAATAATTTATAAAATATCAAGATAAGAATAAAAAGTAACACTACAGTGTATAGAACAGCTAAAGGAAAACAAAAAACAAATGGGCCTTATTGAGGACACGTGTGTTTATGACTTTTATCCTACTTTCAATACTATACATACAAGTTAATGTTTTCAGATGACATTATGTTCTAAACTGTAGTAAATGAGCTGTAAAACCCATACACTTAGCTACTACCGTTGTATTTCAAACGTGCTCATGCGTCTTTCTCTCTTCTCTCCGTGTTTTTCCCTTTGAGCTTCCCAAAGATCATTTATCAGTATTTGTCACCAAAACCAAAAAAAGAGGACAATGTAGCGCTCTTATCTTTTAGTGTGCATGTTTACTCTCCTTAAGTAAATACTAGACTCTTTGAGGGTAGGAAAACCATGAGTTCCTTACTCTTACATCCTTCACATTCTTAAATCCTCCACACAGCTACTAACAAAACACTTACTCAAAGAAATTAAAGTAATGGAAGAGGCATTTACACTGGGCCTTTCAGAGTAAGGGCAATATTGACTATAGGGCACCGACTGTCTTAATCATTTTGTCTTCTCATTGCCTACTAGAGTGCTGGGACCCGGAAGCGTTTTGGAAACATTTGTCAAACTGACTTGTCAGATGTATCAAGGAGAAACAAGTGTTCATAGTCTTCTTAAACAAATTGTGGTAAAAAAATATGAAACGTCAAATAATACCATTTTAACCATTTTTAAGCATACAATTCAGTGGCATTAAGTATATTCCCCACTGTACTTCTGCTGTGTAAGCATCACTACTATCTATTTATAAAACTTTATGCCAAACAGGAACTTTGGAGGCTTTAAGCAATAATTCCGTTTCCTTCTCTTAGCACTCCTTCTAGAGCCTAGAAATCTAAAATGAACATTTTCTCCTTTGCAGCTAGGATTCAGGATGTGATTTAAGATCAACCAATCAGATGCACTCATAGAATATTTGGAAGAAAGAAGTGAGGTAAAGTCATGCCTCTGTAGTTTCTGCTGAAAGGTCTACTTATGGATGACTTTGGAATTTTGGTGGCAGAGTTAGCAGAAGTCCAAGTGTCCACTCACCAGCTTTGTAGATGTCTGGAAACAGAGCTTAGGACAGTCACTTTCCTGGCGTAGATCACATTAGGTAAACATACCACATGCGCTTTACCACACACCACACACCTCACCCTAGGAGGCTTTCCTCTGTACACAGGTGCTACCGCGGGGAGAATGATTTCTAAATTTGCATAAATTCTATCTCAAAAAGATGCTTTGTCAGAAGTGACTAAATCACCTTAAAGTGCCTAGACTTTTCTATTTGACGAAAATATGGTTCAAGAATTAAGTTGAAAGCAATTACAGAAAATCCAAGAACATTTTTAGACTCTTGGTTTTTATAAACTGTAATAACTGTTAAACAGCATCCATACTACTTGAGATACAAAAAGAAAAACTCAATCTAGGCAGATTTATATAAGAATAGGTTACTTGTATTCTGATATAAAACTCATCTAGAATATGTATCTGAAACGTTTACATTCATGTCCAGTTTTGTCTTCAGGAATATACCTAAATATACCTGAATATTTTCCAGGAATATACCTCTGATGGAAATAATTTCCAGGGGCTTTTTTTTGCCCCCAAGCCTGTCAATATATTATTTATGCATTCTTTCAATTTCTAAAATATAGTAAATAGCCCAAAGGGGGAACCTCTAGGTTTATATTAAAAAAATCTTTAAAGGCTACAAAAAGGGCTTATGTAAACAGCAGATGAAATCATAAATAATTCACAGAACTTAAAATACATAAATTGTCGACAAACCGAAGCTCTGTGAAATAATAACCTGAGAGAAAGCATGTGCTTTACCACATCATGACCTCTGTTCTGCCAGGCGTCCCTGTGGCTTAGGTGGCTTTTAATTTCTAGAACCGCACACAATTCATGTAACTTTGTACATTAATGTAAAATTACAGAGGGAAACCAAAAGCTTTAACTTATATTTAAATAGATATCAAATAGAGGCCCAGAATTAAGAAAATATTTAAATAAAGCTTGAAGACTAACCAAAATGATGGATCATATGTGCTTTAGCTATTAAAATTTGGTTCTGTGCCTTGCACCACCCGAATGTTTCTTTAATTAAAGTTGAACCAGGATTCAGTTAAGCTCAGATTTAGCTAGAGGTTTGTGGGAAATATGGGTCTTGAAAGAAAGTGTTAAGTTTCAAAGTGTTAAGTGACAACAGGGGAACCATCAATCAAATGCAAAATATGGAACATTTTCCAGGGTAAATGATCCATTTTTTCCAGCAAATAACTGGCACAAATAAAAGGGAAAGGAGTTTGGATGTTACATAATAAAAGAGATCTAAAAGATATAACAACCAAACTAAGTGAACCTTGCTTGGATTCTGATTTAAACAAAACCTTTAAAATAAATCTTTGAGATAGATAGGGAATTAGAGTATGAACTAGGCTCAGATGGTAATAAGTCTGCCTGCAATGCAGGAGACCCGGTTTCAATCCCTGAGTGGGGAAGATCCCATGGAGAAAGGAACAGCTACCCACTCCAGTATTCTTGCCTGGAGAATCCCAAGACAGAGGAGTCCATGGGGTTGCAAAGAGTTGGACATGACTGAGCAACTAAACACACACACAGAGTAATTACTGTTAAATAATTTTTTAAAAAGCTCTTATCAGAAAAAGACACATATTAGTACTAAAGTCTTTACAGATTAAATAATAGTACATCCTGGATTTGTTTTAAAATATCACAGTTTACCCCGCATTCCAAAAATATGTCAAGAAGTAACTGGATGGTAGGCATACAAGAGTTCATTATACTATAGTAACTTCTTTTATGTATCTTGGAGAACTCTCATAATTTTTTTAAAAAACTAATTGGGCTAGGCACTTCTGCTAATTTATGAAACCCTTTTTTAAGTCAGTTGAGTTTTTTCAAGCAGTTTGATCCATTTAGTTTTCATTTTTTTACTTTATTCTTTTTTAGTACTGCATGACTCTCAGAGCTAACAAGGTGGTAGCAATAACAGAAACTAACATTTACTGAAGGTTTAAATACAAGCATCTGTTCCAAGGAGGATTATCTAATCTAAAAATAAAACCCACAAAACCCTGTGTAGTCTGGTTCTGGGAAGGAAACAGTGATATGCTGCACAGAGCTCCTTCCAGAAAGGGGGATCCCTGCTACTGGGTGCTATCAGCAAACCTCCTTTGGCAGTCAGCCCCTGCAGAGATGGCCTCGGTTATGGATGGCCATCTCACCCAAGAATTTGCCTGTCTCGAGGTGGCCCAAATCTAACAACAGATTGGAAGGAGGCACAAAGCCCTGCTATTTTGGCCAATGCAGAACCACCGTGATTGGCCATTTTAGTACCTGCTTTGGTTTTGACTTCTCCCTTCACCCAATCTTCCTTCCCTGCCCCTCACGGGTGTTGATTTCAAGGGTAGTTCTCAACAATCATCACACACACTGGACTCTGTTTCAGAGCAGGCCTCCTGAAGAGCCCAATTTGTGATGAGCACTAGCATTACCACTACTGCGGTGCCCCATTTCACAGCTGGGGGAACGGAGGCACAGAGAGATCAAATAACTTGTCCAAGATTATACACAGGCTTCCCTTGTGGTTCAGCTGGTAAAGAATCCACCTACAATGCGGGAGACCTAGATTCGACCCCTGGGTTGGGAAGATCCTTTGGAGAAGGGAAAGGTTACCCACTTAAGTATTCTGGCCTAGAGAATTCCATGGACTGTATAGGTCATGGGGTCACAAAGAGTTAGATATGACCGAGCAACTTTCACTTTCAAGATTAAATAAGTAATAAGGGGTTCAAACCCAGGCAGTCTGTCTCCAGAGCCTGAGATCTTAACCACAAATGTAAACTTTCCAATTTTAGAACTAAAAATCTGATTCTTCAGGTTTCAGTTTTAATTTTACAATGTATTGAACTGTGTGGCTTTGGTTGAATTACTTGAATGCTGTGAGCTTCAGTTTCCCTTTCTGCAAAATTGAGGAAACAATTTTTTACCCCAAGAGTCTATTTTGGTAATTAAATAAGAAGGCATACAGAAGGTGCTCAATAAAACTGGGTAGAAGAAATTCTTATCGTCAGTGTTCCAATTGTCAGAGGCAATATAAAGACCAGAAATCCCATATAAGTGTTATTTTACATTTGAGAAGCAAATTTTCACAAATACATTGTTTGCATTCACCATTTCCAAAATAGACATGGGCTAGAAATATTAGGTAGTCAATAAATATATAAACATATTTGATAAAAGTGCATGATGTAATGACACGTCTTCTAAATTCTTCAGATTTAGACTTGGCCAACAACTAAACTTTAAAATGTTATGTCTGGTCAAAATTTTAAGATTCATAAAGTTCAAAAAGACATCAGCTGGTATTCATCCACCCACATGCCCTTCCAGCAAAATGGCCTTACCCATAGTACCTGATTATCTTGGCTGTCATGTTTTTATAGCATTTATATGAGGTGTTGACCCTTAACCCAAGGACACTAGACCCCCATGCTGGCTAGTGACAGATGATGTGATCTGGCTTGAAAACATAAAGCAAAAAATGTCATGAGGCATAGTGTTGGAGCCATAGCAAGTCAACATACATGAAAGCCTAAGTCATTTGCGCAGTGGAGGCTACAATAAAACAAGGCGCTAGTACATCAAGAAAGGAGACCCAGCAATATTCCAGTAATCCATATTATATCTCAAACTGCTCAAGTTATTCAAACCTTTGTCTTTCCTTCTGATGAAAACATATTATATCTGTCATTTAAAAGAAAGATTCTGTTGAAAAATTTAAATTAAATTTCCCTTTGTTCTTCCAAAGCTTCCCTTTTGATTTTGTTGCCTTTTGACAAAGAAATTGTATCCTATTGCGTGTGAAGATAGGTCATCTTATTTTCTTCATTAGTACTGCCTAAACTGCTACTTATTATTTTTTTATAAATAAGATTTCACTTAGCATTATCATCTTACAATAAAAATGTTCTCAAGTTAATTCAATTTCTATCAATTATTCAAAGCCTTTCTCAAAAGAACTTCAAAGAAAACTTGGATTTTAATGAGGCTGCTGCTGCTGCTAAGTCACTTCAGTCGTGTCCAACTCTGTGCGACCCCATAGACGGCAGCCCACCAGGTTCCCCCGTCCCTGGGATTCTCCAGGCAAGAACATTGGAGTGGGTTGCCATTTCCTTCTCCAGTGCATGAAAGTGAAAAGTAAAAGTGAAGTCGCTCAGATGTGTCCGACTCTTAGTGACCTCATGGACTGCAGCCTACCAGGCTCCTCTGTCCATGGGATTTTCCAGGCAAGAATACTGGAGTAGGGTGCCACTGCCTTCTCCTTGTATGAGGCAGGTGTTGCCAAATTATCTTATAAGATCATTTATTCTTTGATTCTTTGAAAAAACACATAATGAACATATATTAAGTACCAGGAACTTAGGATATGTTCTCTGCCTTCTAAGAAGTCACATTACATTAGTTAGAAGAAATAGACCAACAACTACCATAATACCAAGGTAAATACAATAATAATAGGAACGACAGTACAGAAAAACAAAGAATATCAGGGAAACACTGAACAGAGGGAAGAGACCCAGCACAGTGGGTTAGGCTGTCCATCGCTGACGGCAACGATCCGAGCAACACACGTGCAGAGCGTGTCTCAGAGAACTCGGTAGGACATGGAAAACTACTCACCTGCAAATGCAGTGGGGTTAGTTCTTGTGTGTAGTAGCACGGTTTAGTTGTCATCTTTATGGGAAATCCACATATATGGGGCAGTTTAGATTTTAAATCTGAAAGAAAGCTTTTCAACACACCTTCCGTATCTACCCTTGGAAAGAACTGTATGGGTTGACTTCTGATGCAACTGAGAGGGTACCTGAACATTGTTAAAGAACAATGGAGTATTTTTTTGCAGATAGGAGACAGCATTTTTTTTTTAACTGATGTAAAAAGGTCTTAAAATTGTAACTGCCAAAAAGACACAAATAACTAAATCCTAACTACTTTAAATTTTAACTTTCATAATAAAAACAACTCACAGTAGTACCCTTATTACTATATGGCTCTCGCCACAGACTGGCAAACTAAGCTATCCAAAAAATGATTTATAGAAAAGACATTATGATCTTCATAGATTATAAATGTAAATATTCACAGTAGACAATAAACAGGTTGCATTTCCAAGAACAGTAAAAATTCAGCACAGAGAAACACCACATATGAATTGCATTCAAGCTCTGAATGTGGTTCTTTGAGCAAAGCAGTTAACTTTTTCAGATATAAAACATTCTGAAGACTTGGAATAATGTCTTGGCATTTATGAAGGGGAATAATTGATAGCTGTTAACTTCAACTTTATATTAAGATTTGGGTTAGGAAATATAGAATACAGAAAGAGAACACTAGGCTCCTCCCTCTTCCTTTTAGAGACCAGCTGGTCAGAATACAAAGAAACAAATATGATGAAACCAGTGTTAATTAACATGGGAGAGTTTCACCTGAGTACTTGTGCTCTGTGTGTAGATTTTTTAAAATAACATCAAGAAAAATATTATCTCAAATCAATGAGGTGCATTAAGTGCTATTTAAATCCTCTAAACTTTGCCTGTGAAATTATTCTCCAAAAAAGAAATTTTCATTGACATTCTTTCAATTCCACCCTTTCAATATGCCACCGGAGGGAGCCCTTGGCTAAGGAGAATCCTATACAATTATTTTGTTCCTTTCTACTAGGAGTCATGGATCCTAGGGTGGACAGAGAGCATCTGTAAAGGATACGTGAAGATCCTTTCTCCTATCATTTTGAAGTAGACGCTACAGTATATTTTAATAGTTCCAAGGTCTTCTGGAAGCTTATAGCCGTACTAAAAATTAAGAACAAAGTTGAAATTCTTTTGAGTGAAAGCTTAACTAAAGGTTAAATTACAAGAAGCAAAATTAAATAGCTACTAATGTAATATATATTTCTATTCCTTACCAGGCCATCCCAGTGCATCTGGAAATCTTCATATGAGTGGAAGGGACAGTCAGGGGGTATGGAGTGAAGAATACTTATCACTCGTCCCATTTTCATACTATGAAAAATACAGTTGGTAAAATATTATGAGCCAGTGCTTAGACAGGGAGCTTCCCAGGTGGCACTATAGTGTAAAGAAACAGCCTGCCAATGCAAGAGATATAAGGGAACTGGTTTCAATCCCTGGGTTGGTCAACTATGTGATTTGGAAAGCATTCAAAAACTTTAGCAACTATCAACATATAAGTAATAAGCTACTCATTTGCTCCCAGTTCTAAATTAACATTGTATTAAATTCTTAATTAAGAACTATTAGGAAAAACAAAGTTGAACTGATGCAAACAATATGCCAGTTACAAACACAAAACTATGACTAATACAGTGTTGCCACACAGAGGTAGGCCTGGTAATTTTAGACTTCAGGGAAAAGTTTGTTAAGAGTTGAATGAATCGGAAGCAAATCTATGTTCCCTATCTACCTCTTCTCTGCTTCAATGACCAAGTTATAATGCAGATTCCACTACTTAAAAGTTCTTCCTAATCTGGTTAAAATTTCATGCTAATAGTCATATTTATGTTAGTAACAAGTCATATTTTTCCCTTGAAGATAGTGCAAACTTATAACTGAGCTCAAATCAAATGACAATGAATCATTAATTATATGTACACATTTATAAGGTTTTATTGATATTATATATAGTTGTAATTTCATAATGAGATATCTAGAAATTTTACTGTTTTAAAATGAGGTCTAATAAAGATACAAATGTGTAATAAAATTATTTTAGTAATTTGATGGCTTCTGCAAGTATGACAATATTGTTTCAATATCTTTTTAAAGTTATAATTCAGTTTCCAAAATTCACAATAATGGTTTATACTTTGCACATAATAATGTTGAAGCAAAATAGGAGAAAACTACTATATCCCAAACCCACCTCAGATAATACAAACTGAAATCTCACCTTGGCAGAACGTAGCACCAGTTGCTTAAAATGGACTGTTCCTCAATAACAGCACTCTGGTTAGTTTCAAAATTCTTTATAATACTCGGAGAAATATCAAATTCTCTTAGCTTTTGATAGAAATAAGAATTTAATGCATAAGTCCCCCCAAAGAATTTGGCAAACAAAAGGAAACATTTAAAAACACAGATTTCATTAAAATAAAAAAAAGAAAGATTTATCGCACATACACCATCAGTTAAGAAACAGTTTCAAAGCCTGTCACATTGAATCATGTATAACCACTTTACACAAGGTAATCAGTGTTTCAGCTCACCCCTTTTCCTCCTCTACACAGTTTATCAAATATTTCATACTTTCCCACTTATTGTCCAAAGCCAAACTCCTATTTTGTACTCATTTGAACTGGCTTTCAGTTTCTTTAATTATGTTAAGTGGGAGTTGAATCTCGGCCCAAAGGAAGATATTTACATTCTGTCAGAATAGCTTCTTAATTAAATTTTAAACAAATTTTTTAAAGTAGAGGATGAGGATGTGTTAGGAAGTTATACCTTCCTCTGGTCTTCTAAAAGCAAGAGGACAGAACCAACAACTGCACTCTCTTTTTGTATCCCTTCTCCAAGATCTGGAATGCTTTTTTCTTTGGTGCTCAGGTGCCCTGTCTATGGCAACTACTTGCCACTTACAGTTTCCTCACTCTGCCACTTACAGTTTCCTCACTCTGCCACTTACAGTTTCCACACTTACAGTGGGCCATTTTCTTACAGCGAGGCAGAGGCTGGAGAGATCTCAAGTGAGGTGCAAAATAAAATATTAAAGGGTGAAGGACACTGTGTTTAGAGAGAACGTTTCACATCCCTCGCTCTTATTCATTCATCTTCGGGGAAACAACATTCTAACTCTACTGCCTGCTGCTTCTCAATGAACTCCAGCTGACCCAGCCAATTTTCCAATTCCTGGACAAGCCATCAGCATTATAACAAGGCCCTCGCTTAAAGCACTGCCCCCACACTGATTTATCTGCATTCTGCCAATACAAACCTTACAGGCCTAGATCTAGACCCCTTTCCTCCACATTCAATGACTAATCCTGCTCTGAATTTCCATTGTGTTTCTGAGATTAATGGAGATACTATAAATATATGTGGTGAGGCATAGTGTGGAGGTTTTAGTGGGTGAAAGATCACAGCAGGTTTGGAGCCTTAGGGAGGTTCCTTGTCAGTACAAGATATTCACATTATGCCACTGGCTCTGTGACAGAGAAGAACCAACCTGAAATATATGTGATAGCCCATTCTCAAGCCCTGTCTCCCAGGCCTGACCTTGAAAGGTGTAACACTTTTCATTCATATAGAGACAGAAAGCTGTGGAAACTCTGTCTTGCTGGAGGTTTATAGGAAGAGCATGACTTGACCGACATGGACAGCTGCAAGAACAAAGGATTCAGGCACCAAGAAGTTTGTAACAACCAGCCACACCCGCTACCTCTTTAGTATAAAAGCAGCCTGAACTGGAACTTGGTAAGATGGCTCTTTGGAACACTAGTCCACCATCCTCTCTGTCTGCTGACAGGTCTTTGCCCAAACACCTCGTGTTTCAATCTACTGGCCTGCCATGCAGCGAGCAATAAGAGCGTGGACTCAGTAGCAACTGGCTTTCCTACTGGCTTACATAACTGTTGAGGGCCAGAACATAGATCCCATTCATTTTTGACTTGTCTACTGCCTTAACATAACAAGTAATCAAACAATGAATGAATGGAGAAATGAGTGGGGTGGCATTTGAGCTGGTCCCTGAAGAACAAGCAGAGTGCATGGCACATCAAGGGGCACATCAAGGGGCACGCTAAGCAAAGAAGAGTCTTCAGTCCTATGCCTGGGCTTCCTCAGTGTGGCCACTGTGGGTCATCTGGGCCGGAAGGCTCTTGGTGGGGATGGAGTGGAGGTGCTCTGGTGTGCTCTAGAAGACTCAGCAGCATCCTGGCCTCTACCCACTTAACACCGTAGCAACACACCCTCCCATCGAGTGATAGCCCAGTTTCCTCCAGAAGTCACAGATGTCTCACGGGGAAGAAACCACTCATTTCACCCTCCACCCCTCTCTGTTGAGAACCACTGTCACAGAAGAAGGAAAATAACAGTCACTGAGTTATCATTAATGTGAAAGTTTCTATACTGGGTGCTATGAGAATAAGCAAAATAGAAGATAGATCCTTTTACTAAGAAGGCAAAAAGTGTTAGGTGTTAAAAAAAAGATGAAAAAAACTATAATAATGCCAATGTGGGTTTATTATTAATATATTCAGTATGAGCTGAAATAGCACTTTTAATATTTGGAGGTGAAAGAAAAGGCAAAGAGCAGGTGCTGAGGCAACGCAGCACTGTGGAGTCTTGAATGCTACCTAAAGAGATTTTTGAGCAAAGGAATAACATAATCAGATCTGTGTTAAATGGACAGAATGATGTTTTCTTTGGTAAACAGATTTAAGACAATATCAATATGTCAAGTATTTAATGATATGGATTTTGATAATAAATTTCTCATCACTCTTATTAAAAATTAAAACCTCCTAGCATATCAGTAATTATAATTTATTATATTAATTAATTTATATTAATTAATTTATATTATATTTATATCAATATATTATTAATTATATTAATATATTATATTAATTATATAGTAATAAAAATACATTAATTATATATTAAGAAATAAAAATATGTGGTACCTGAGGTGGTGGCAGTCTGATTGTATGAGCTTCTATGCTTAGACAAACTTGAGTTGCTGTTACATTGATATCTAACTCTGAAAATAAAATTATTAACCATGAACTTTCTGGAATTATTACTCCAGCTTAACAAATTAAGTATTTGAGTAACATAAGAAGTTAACTCAATTTATTCAAGTTAGAAATTCAGTTAAGAATTGATTTTTTTCACACATGGTAAAATTCAAATAGTCACCTTATATGGTGAATATATTTATATTTTTTGATGGTCTACAGATGAGACATCTAAAAGAAGACAAACCCTCAGAACAGTACATATGTGGGTATAATGTGTAGGACACAGTTACAATGAGAAAAATGAGACATCCCACAATTGACAGGAAAACTTAGCAGACATCTCCTAGAAGCCTGACATTTATTATATGTGAAAAATGAAGACTCTTCTTAAATCAGAATAGGTACCATCCCATGTTTTTGACTTACTAACAAATGTCCTCAAATATACTGGCAGATATATTTCAAATCTTTCAGAGCCCCAAGGCATCTATCTTGCTTTCTCATAATTAAAATACTGAAGGCAAAAGGAGAATAGGGCTGCAGAGCATGAGATGGTTAGATAGCATCATCGACTAATGGACATGAACCAGCAAACTCCGGGAGATGGCGAAGGACAGGGAAGGCTGGTGTGCTGCAGTCCACAGGGTCTCAAAGAGTCGGACCTGACTTAGTGACTCCACAACAACTTCTAAGTCAGATAGTGCTACCTGAAATAAAGCATGTGGGGGTTTCTGGTGTACTGGTAATGTCCATTTCTTGATCTGAGGACTGGTTCTAAGCATATTTTAGTTTGTGAAAATCCAACGAGCTATATATCTACAGCTTGTAAGTTTTGCTGCAGAATATTACATTCAGTAAAACTAAAAGAAAAAATTCTAACACATGAGTGAGGAGTGTTGCTGTCCTAAACTGTTCTCTTTACCCTCCAACAGCTTGGTCTCCTGATGTGTTTGGGGACAGGCAAAGAAGTCATTCATCCAGAGCTGGAGCACAGTGACTGCTGCTGCCCACCTTACACACAAACCCAGAGCAAGAGGGGCACGGGCTTCAGCCGGAAGCCAGCTCAGATAGAACAGTCCATGGATGACATGTAGATTTAAGCCTACGCTCAAATGCTGGTAAAACCACCATGACTGACAATGTCTACTTGGCTTAGGATTTCCATCTATCTGCCATCTCTGGACTACTGATAGGAATGTGTCTATCTGCAACAGAACCATGCACATCAACAAAAGAGTTAGATTAGACCAATCTGTGTCTCTTTAGGCAATCTTTTTTTAAAAACAAGAATCATGTACTCATAAAAAAACCCAAAGCTTTTACTTACAACAGTACTAAAGAATTCTTATAATATGGTTCTAGAGACTATACATTATAAATACCTGCAAAATTAAATGGTTTTAGTTATAATTTTAACTAGAGAAATTAAAAATGTAGCTTTTATATCAATTAAAAGTGAATTTTTTTCTCATGAAGTAGAATATATATTTTTGAATCAGAAGTGGTTTCCTGAGTGAAACTGTGATTATAACAGTATCTTGATTAACTTTTGATACAACCTAATCATCAAGATTTTAACAACCCAACAATCTATAACACTTTTTAAGCAACTATTTTATTAATGTTTTATCTATTAACTTTTATATTTTTACTTACCAACAGCACTTTGCTTTCCCATCTGAGAAAGAAATTCTCTTCCTTAAAAAATTCATAGAATACACCATATTATTAAAAATCATAAATCATGCTTAATATAACTTCCTTATGCAAAGTTATCAAAGCTGCAGAAAATGCTTTACAATGCAGTTTTATACAAATGAATATCTGATGATAGTTCAGAGAAAAAAATACAACACTCAAAAATATCTCTTATATTAAAAAGACAGAAATACTCAATTCTTCCTGCACACATTTTTTTCTGGTATAAAATAGTTAGAAAACAGATCACAACACAAAAATTCAGAATAGACTTTTGGTTCCAACAACACTAATAATTTGTGTTCATTTTATTATAGTGCTCCATAACTTTTATTTATTCCTTTTTAAACATCAAGTATTCTATAATAAAACCACTTTCTTCCATAGAAACACTAGGAAATCTCCTCTGGATATAATCACAAAGGAAGGAGAGGACACTTTTGTTGATGGGGGCTTGCTTAAGAATGTTTGGTTGGGGCTATGCTTTAAAAACCATTCCCTGTGGATACATGTATAATATATGTATGGCTGAATATTTTTGCTGTTCACCTTGACCTATCACAACATTGTTAATCAGCTATGCCCTAATACAAAATAAAAAGATTTTTTTGAAAAAAATTCCCCAAAACAATATATCTTGAAATTAAAAACAGACGTACATAATAGAAGTAATCTGGTTCAGAAAGCCCTAAGGATTGAAAGAGATAAAGTCACCTTGTACCAAGAGATGGCCAGCTTTATTCCAGGCTGGAGCAAGTCTAGCTGTGAGTGAATATGAAAGGCAGTTTTGAAGAATTATAGGAACTACTTGTTGTGGAGCCTCCACCTAAAAATATTAAAGCACAAAATATGGGCAAGTTCACAGTAATTGTTATGCTATACTATAAACTCAGAGAAAATGTCTGTGTGCTTAGATCACCTCCCAACAAAACTGGGCTATTCTGGATAGAAGTTACAGCCATCACTCTAGCTAATCCTATCTGGTTCTGAAGTTAAAGAAGTGTTAAAATATATTCACTTTGATACTATGACTGTAATGGCCAAATTCTACCAGTTTATCCTGCCCCAATAAGCCTAAATCTTTGGAGCTCATGGGCTAGAATCTTACACTTTACTTTGTATTCTGCTCTGCACAGAGGAATCCTCCCCAAACTACACTGTGACATGTTTCATTACTGTTCACTCTAGTCCAATATCAGAAAAGTTAAATGTTTACAAGGGGGGCACACATGGAACAAGCAGTATGCATGTGTTTGCACTAGATACAATGCAACAAGTATCTCCACTTGCACACAATTTTCAAAGGTCAGAATATTCACTTAGGACCAATGGGATCCAGACACATTGTCCCACCTGAAATAACTAAAACACTGGGTAAGTTAAATGAAACAATGTTTCACAAGACACAGGCCACCAAGGAACAAAAAAAGACAAACCCCTAGGAGTTGGGAAACTCATGAGACCGCAGCATATTGATTAAAGAGGCTTTCCAGGCTGCAGTGCAGGGAAGGGGAATCCTGGAAGAGGCAGCCGGCTCCCTGGGTTGAACGGACAGAACTGAGAGTCCAGGGAAGCCACGGGAGTTACAGTTTGGAGGGCAAAGTATTGAGAGAAGAGAGCTTCACAGAGAGAAAACTCTGAGATGAGCAGAGTCCCTCCTTGAGTATTCAGTTGCATATGGAATAGCATACTCATATGAGGAAACACTCAGGGCTGTTTGCTATACAAACATTCTTGCAAATGCAGCCCAGAGAAAACACTGCCAGGGCCTTAGTTAGCAAGACAAAAGTGAGACAGCCAAGAACTGTCACCCAATAAATAAAGAGGAGGAAAATATTTTTCTATGTTAAGATTCCCAAGGGCAAGAAGTTTATCAGGTTCCCAGCTTTATCTCCAGAAACAAGCAAAGTGCTCAGTATTATCATAGATGTTCAATGACTATCTGCTGTGATTATTACTCATGTACAAAGTATCCAGATAAAGACAAATTGAGCATAATCGTGAAGGCTCAACACAGGTGAGAAGAACACTGCTTTCCCACAGATGGTAAATGATGGCTAAAATCAGCTTTCAGGTTATTCAAATATTTCTCAGGGAACTGCAAAGCATCTCTGGGTATTATTGAGACTTCATCATTCTCCTATAACTTAAAGCATTTCATCTTGAAGATGACCGAAAACCTCATCATTCCACACTCCACTAGATCTAGGAACAGAGGCCAACAATGATGCCTGGATAGGCTGCTAGAATAACCAAGGATACGGTGCCTCAGACACCCATGCAGAGACATGATGGGAGCTCTAGCAAAGTCTCAACAGCCTGAGTACTGAGACACGATAGGTGCTCTACTTCAAGTATTCATTTCTTTTTTCTTTGCTAAGATCCAGACACTCATCACCATTGGGAATAAATTCTGTATTTTTTTTTTGTTCCCTTACTTATGAGCTATATGATTGTGGACAATTTTTTCACCTCTCTGGGTTTCAGTTTATCTGTAAACATGGGATATTCACTTCTTGGAAAATAGAGATGACAAATGAAATTATGTCACATAAAATGCCTGCAAGAAAGTACCCAATAAAATTAAGCCTCTTCCCCCCTTCTCTATTAAATGTGCACAAAAAAATTGTCCTGAGAGAAAATATTAGTTTTTTCACATGCATAGAAACAACTTACGAGAAAGGTATTCTAATTTTTGTTTACTGACAAAATAAGCTGAATATACAAAATCAATACAACAACATCTGGAATTATCCTTATAAAAACTTACCTTAGCTCTGTATTTTTCCACATAGGCATGAAGTTTTCCAGCTTTATAAAATGTCATCTATTTAAAAAATCCATATTTATAAAAATGACTTAAATATATTATTAAATAATGCACTACATAAAGAATTTAAACATTTATACAGCAGAACACAGCAGAGGACCATCATCCTAACAGTTTCTATGCTCTGGAGAAAGAAGCAAGTGATAATCATTCTCTTCCTGAAACACTGGGTTGACCAAAAACCTCCTTTGGCTTTTAAGCAAAAATAAAAGACCCATTTTTCATTTTCACCAAGAACTTTATTGAACAATGTATTCATCATTTTGTTCTGCTACCTTCTGCCATTTTCCAGTTAACTTCATAATTCCATCCTCCAAAAACTTTTTATCTTTTTGAGCAAAGAACTATTCCAGGTACCTTTTACAGTCTTCCAGGAAATTGACATTTTTTTTCCTTTAGGGGATTTTTTTAACCAAAGGGAATTTTTAAAGTCCAGTTTCTGGTGAGTATGGCAGATGAGTCAGAATTTCCCAGACAAGCTGTAGCAGCTTTTGCCTGGACATCAAAGGAACATGCGATCTTGTATTATCCTGATGAAGAATATGCCTTTCCTGTTGACTAATTTCAGACACTTTTTGTCAAGTGCTGCTTTTAGTTAGTCTAACTGGGAGCAGCTTATTGGAATGAATCGTTTGGTTTTCTGGAAGGGGCTCATAATGGAGAACTCCCTTCCAATCCCCACCATATACACATCACCTTCTTTGAATAAAGACCAGGCTTAGTTGTGGTTGGTGGTGGTTCATTTCATTTGTTCCACAGTCTTTTCAATCCCACCTTATTTTAGAGTATCCATTTTTCATCACTCATAACAATTTGTTTTAAAAATGGAAGCTTTTTTTATGTTTAAGTAGAGAATTGCATGTAGAAATATGGTTAAGGTTTTTCTTGCTTAACTTATGTGGAACATAAACACCAAAGTGATTAACATAACCAAGCTGGTGCAACTGATTTTCAATGCTTGATTTGGAAATTTTGAGTATGTCAGCTATCTCCTATGTGATATAATGTTGATTGTTCTCAATTAATGTCTTGATTCGATCACTATCAACTTCAAACTGGTAACACTGAAGAAGCTGAAGTTGAACAGTTCTATGAAGACCTACAAGACCTTCTAGAACCTAATACCCAAAAAGGATGCCCTTTTCATTATAGGGGGCTGGAATGCAAAAGTAGGAAGTCAAGAAACACCTGGTGTAACAGGCAAATTTGGCCTTAGAGTACAGAATGAAGCAAGGCAAAGGCTAATTGAGTTCTGCCAAGAGAACACACTGGTCATAGCAAACACCCTCTTTCAACAACACAAGAGAAGACTCTATACATGGACATCACCAGATGGTCAACACCAAAATCAGATTGATTATATTCTTTGCAGCCAAAGATGGAGAAGCTCTATACAGTAAAAACAAGACTGGGAGCTGACTGGCTCGGATCATGAACTCCCTATTGCCAAATTCAGACTGAAATTCAAGAAAGTGGAGAAAACCACTAGACCATTCAGGTATGATCTAAATCAAATCCCTTATGACTATACAGTGGAAGTGAGAAATAGATTTAAGGGACTAGATCTGATAGACAGAGTGCCTGATAAACTATGGATGGAGGTTCACGACATTGTACAGGAGACAAGAATCAAGACCATCCCCAAGAAAAAGAAATGAAAAAAGCAAAATGGCTGTCTGAGGAGGCCTTACAAATAGCTGTGAAAAGAAGAGAAGTGAAAAGCAAAGAAGAAAAGGAAAGATATTCCCATTTGAATGCAGAGTTCCAAAGAAAAGCAAGGAGAGATAAGAAAGCCTTCCTCAGCAATCAATGCAAAGAAATAGAGGAAGACAACAGAATGGGAAAGACTAGAGATCTCTTCAAGAAAATTAGAGATACCAAGGAAACATTTCATGCAAAAATGGGCTCAATAAAGGACAGAAATGGTAGGGACCTAACAGAAGCAGAAGATATTAAGAAGAGGTGGCAAGAATACACAGAAGAACTGTACAAAAAAGATCTTCATGACCCAGGTAGTCACGGTATAATTACTCACCTAGAGCCAGACATCCTGGAATGTGAAGTCAAGTGGGCCTTAGGAAGCATCACTACAAACAAAGCTAGTGGAGGTGATGGAATTCCAGTTGAGCTATTTCAAATCCTGAAAGATTATGCTGTGAAAGTGCTGCATTCAATATGCCAACAAATTTGGAAAACTCAGCAGTGGCCACAGGACTGGGAAAGGTCAGTTTTCATTCCAATCCCAAAGAAAGGCAATGCCAAAGAATGCTCAAACTACCACACAATTGCACTCATCTCACACGCTAGTAAAGTAATGCTTAACATTCTCCAAGCCAGTCTTCAGCAATACATGAACCGTGAACTTCCAGATGTTCAAGCTGGTTTTAGAAAAGGCAACCAGTCCATCCTAAAGGAGATCGGTCCTGGGTGTTCAATACTTTGAACACCAATACTTTGGCCACCTGATGCGAAGAGCTGACTCATTTGAAAAGACCCTGATGCTGGGAAAGCTTAAGGGCAGGAGGAGAAGGGGACAACAGAGGATGAGATGGTTGGATGGCATCACCGACTCGATGGACATGGGTTTGGGTGGACTCCGGGAGTTGGTGATGGACAGGGAGGTCTGGCGTGCTGCAGTTCATGGGGTCGCAAAGAGTCGGACTGGACTCAGTGACTGAACTGAACTGAACTTCAACTGATCTATCTGGCCATGGAGCACTGGCCAGCAAGAAATCCCAGCAAGAAACTTTGTAAACCACTTTCGGTATGTTCAATCAATCACAGCACCTTCTCCATACACTGCATAGATCTTTTTGCTGTTTCAGCTGCTTTTTACCTTTCTGGTATAGTGTTAGTCGCTCAGTCACGTCTGACTCTTTATGACCCTGTGAACTGTGGCCGGCCAGGCTCCTCTTTCCATGGGATTCTCCAGGCAAGAATTCTGGAGTGGGTTGTCTTCCTTCTCCAGGGGATCTTCCCGACCCAGGGATTGAACCTGTGTCTCCTGCATTGCAGGAAGATTCTTTACCATCTCAGCCACCAGGGAAACCCACCTTTCTCGTATAATAAAGTATAATTTACTGAAAGTGTTGCTTTTTTCTTCCATCTTCAATATTAAAATGGCTACACAAAAATGTATCAAGTTTGATTAAAAAAATGCATGCTGATATGACAGCTGTCACAATACAGTCTAACAACTGTTTCAAATGAAGTGAAAGGCAATGAAGCTCTACAAGTGTCGTCTTACAGAAAAAACCAAATGAACTTTCTGGGAAACCCAACAGAATCTATGGGTACATTCCTAAGTGAAGAAAGCCTTTCTGGAAATGAACTGAATCCAGAAACCATATAAAGGAAAAGGCCAGTAAATTTCATATAATAAATATTTAATACCTTTCTTATTAAGCAATAATTTCTTAGACATGAATAAGGAAAATGGACACAAGTGGAAGATCAAGAGAAAGTTCAAAACATATTTTTATATGGTGACTTTCTTCTTCTTCTTGCTAAGATTAGGATACTCATTCCCTAAGTTTTTCAGGTAGAAAAGAATATAAAGACATTACTGTCTACTTGTTCACTAACATCTTGTCTTTCTTAAAAACAATATTAAGAATGAGAAGATAAGAAATGGATATAAACCTAAAACCTAAAGAAAAATAAATAAACTAAAGATTTCGAACTATCTATCAGCATTATTAATAAATATTAATTTCTGGGAAATTAAAATCTCAGAATAAGAGCTATATACAGCACCAGAAAATATATTTCTTGTTCTAATTTTACTAAGTAAGAAAAACATTTTAATGAAATTTCCAAAATAAAAAAACATGTTGGCCCAAGTTCTTTAAACACAACTGGAGATCTGTTGGAACAAGGAACTTCTTTTATATTAAATGTAATTCTAAAGAATAAAATTTAAAAAAGGATTAAGTCTGTGCTATCTTAAAAACTATGCCGTTAACATATTTTATTCATTGATAATCTTTATTTTAACATCAATGACAGAGAAAACTAAATACGAATTCAGAGCCTCAAAAATGGATCTTAAACATGAGATATATCAAAGTTAAAGTCTGTTAATGTTTTGATCAACCTACAACACAATGTAATTAGTCTTCATAAACTATCTTCAATTTGAGCTATAATTAATACCCAAATTAATGCTTATCAATATTGCTCTAAATAATTATAAATGATACTTTATAAAATGTTACAATACTAACCGCCATCACCACCCAAATTTGGGTAAATATTCCAAGTACAGGTGATGTAAGGATATCTTGGTGCAAAAACAGCAACTGCCTGTGGAGATGAAATGCATTCATTTTAAACTGGACTGCCCACGCTCCGTTTTCATTTTATCAGAATATTTAAAAATTGCTAGTTCCAATGAAAAGTTTAAGCTTCTTCTAGGCAGGGACTGTATTATGGATCTCCATATGATTCTCCACACTTAGCATGGTACCTTGAATATTGCAAGCTATCAGCCAAGATTTGGATTGAGAGAACTATAAAGTTTTAGATATGATATTAATATAACAACTTGTCTGCACATCTGTTTCTTAACCCTTTCATCTGTAAACTAAAATGTCTCTTTTAAAACTCCATTTCTATTTTAAGTATAGACTTGAAAAAGTCTAAGCATTATGAAGACTTCAGCTCTTCTAACTCCTATTTCTTCCATTTTCCTTTCTTTTTTCTTTTTTTTATTAGTTGGAGGCTAATTACTTTACATTATTGTAGTGGTTTCTGTCATACTTTGACATGAATCAGCCATGGATATACATGTATTCCCCATCCCGATCCCCCCTCCCACCTCCCTCTCCACCCGATCCTTCTGGGTCTTCCCAGTGCACCAGGCCCGAGCACTTGTCTCATGCATCCAACCTGGGCTGGTGATCTGTTTCACCCTAGATAATATACATGTTTTGATGCTGTTCTCTTGAAACATTCCACCCAGAAGCACTGGAGAGAAGAGTTTAAGGAACAGTGTAGTTATCAACTACTTCAGTGTCAGAACTATTGACTAGATTCTTTTCCTTCAAAAAGGAAATTTTTTGAAGGAAAATGAAGTGGGTAGTGGTTTTAGTTAAGTATTCAAAAGACAAGTGAACTTACAGTAACAATCATTACACTTCAAATTACCATCAATAATTTTATTAGAAAAGATGGAAAAAACACAAAATGGAATAGAGGTAGGAATACAAAAAAAATTATTAATCATCAAGGAAACAAATTTTAAAGGCTAGGAGTGCACGTGTGTAGGGGGTTAGGTCAAAATGTGAGATGGGTCAACATGTTTCTGCTAGGCTCATCTTTGTTGCAACTGTGGTGCAGCAGGCTTATGATTTTTTTTTTAATGTTTATGTATTTGACCGTGCTGGGTCTTAATTGAGGCACACAAGATCTTTTAGTTGCAGTGTGTGAACTTAGTTGTAGCATGCAAGAGCTAGTTCCCCAATGGGGGATCGAACCGGGCCCCCTGCCCACGGAGCATGGAGTCTTAGCCACTGGATCACCAGGGATGTCCCCAGTACGTGCTTGTACAAGATGTGCCTTTGTCTGACACAACCACGTCTTTGTCTTTCTGTTCTAGCCTCTTTGTCAGTTATTGGGATGATGAGTCAAAGCACCCCTCTCTATGGGCAAGACCACCTTCAATATGAAAGTGAATGGCAGAAAATCTCTCTTAAGGTTTTCTACTTATTTGCTTCCCTAAGGGGTCACAAGTAAATGCTCAGTGGGTATCAAATTATACCTTAGCAGGAAGGGTACAAATTCCTGGATGTACTTGAGTGTGAAAATACACAGTGGTCAGAAGACAAGTTTTATAAATAAGAGCAAAATGGAGGACACCCAAGAGTATTTTACTTCTGACTCCTAGCCATCTTATAAGTGTTTGATCCTCTCTAAGAAATTCAATTAGAGATATAATCTTGTTATGTATTCTAAGAGTTCTTCCGTGAGTGTCTCAAACAATTTAAGGGACTAATACATGGTGGGTCTTCAGTGTTATACTTTAGGTGTCAACTTCTGGAAGTGTTTTCCAAAGACTATCTTAGGTTAGATATTTCAAGATAATTCTTGGAGAAATACTCTTACATCAATCTGAAAATCTAAAAATTATATTAATCTAAAATGTTTATGGTATCTCCTGAAGTACTTCATAAACAGTAGGTACTTCATAAACAGTTATTAAAGACTATCTCCCAAAACTTAAGACTAAGTTTTGACTTAATCCACTGATTTAATTCATCAATGTCTATAAAATTTTTTAATTAAAATAACACACAAGAAGCCACAAATACAAAGACTCAACAGTGAGATATTCTATATGAAGTACTTTAAGTCCTCCCTTAAATGTAATTCAATATACTTGGTCAGAACAATACTGAATTCCTTTATTCTAAAATTGTATAAACAGATTTAGCAAATAAGTATCTTGCTTTAAAGGTGATACTATTAAAACAGTTCTTACAGATGTAAAAAGTTTAGAAAGTATTAGTTACAAGATTGTGTTTTTTTACCTGCATATCTTCATTTGTCTACTCCTAATCTCAGTGTCTGCCACTCCGTTATTCAATATTATCTTGACAGCACAGAGTTTGTGTAAATCTGGAAGTGTGATGAAGAACAGTGACTGCTGCTTAGAAGCATTCATATTTTCCTGTTGACTGAATGCCTCAGTAATCAGGCCTTTAAAAACAAACAACAATAAAAACATAGTAAACTTTTATTTATTTTACCAATAGGGTAAAGCATTTCAATCCATCACAGAATATTTGATATTGCATTGGTATACAATGGCAAAAACAAGTTTAGCAAATATTAGAGGTTAAATACCACTTACACTTTACCTTTGAGGTTTTCTAATGATAACCTAGAACTTGGGGGGCACAAGTTTTATTAGGATATAATTCATATCACATACAATTCGCCTATTTAACATGTATAATTAAATGGCTTTTACTACATTCACAGAGTTGCAACCATCACAATACACTTTAGAACACTCTGCCACTCCAAAAATAAAATCTATAATTTTAAACCTGCAGTTCTATACAACAAATAGAATAATTTGAGTACAAATATCACAAAGAACCACCAGCAATGTGTATTAAATGCCTACTCTGTTCTGAGTACTAGATATGTTTCTGCTACATTGTTTTTAACAAATTCTTTCTAAAATTTTTGGTTATTAAGTTTCTCTTTGTTTTCAGGAAAACAAAATCTTTCCTATGACAACAATACTTCTTAAAAAAATCAAAAAGTATAGCAAAGCCTTCTGCTATTTTAAGTTATCTCTATAAAGCATTTCAAAGCTGAAGAATATATTTTTCACCATTTTACACTAAAGAAAATTGTTCATGGAGATCTTTAAATTGTTATCTAGTTTCCTTTTCCACAAATTCTCTGGCTTTCCAACTTCTCTGTGGGACACATTTTACAGTTGATAATTCACAGGGCATACCTTTCGGGTCTGTCTTATATATAACAGAAAAGAAAACTGGAATGTGAAATGATTTAAGCTCAGTTTCTCTAGGATACACAAACATATCCAGGGAAGGTAACTGGTATTCTGGTACTTCAAACTTTTAAGCATCCACATATTTTCTCTCTTTAAGAAAAGAAGCAGTAACACAGTCCTGGAATCTGGAGTGTGACCAGCCTTAGGTCTGATCTCAGTAACCAAATACCCTTGTGGTGCCATTTGACCAATGGTGGCATTGCCCTTCTGGCTCCCACACATCTTTCTTACTCAAGTACCAGGGTGCTTGAAATTTTCTTCATTAAAGATCATGGAATTCTTTTAAAACTGCGAGTACTCTTATAAAGATTAAAACAAAGTCACACAAGGTGTTAATTAATTTGGTGTACCTAATTAAGAAGATTTCTGATAGTAAAAATAGAAATATTCCTTCCTTCTCTCTGTTTTTCTACTCTCTCTCTCTATGCTAAATGCTTACTGTTGTGGAAAGAAATTTTTTTTAATGAAGTACAAAGTTCCAAGGCCAACACAATCTACTTCAACAAGGTAAAGAGCATCAATAACGAATGAAGTAAAATAAAAAACAAAGAACTGATTACGGCTTGGGCCCAGGAGTACAAAAGTGCACGTTAGTGAAAATAGACAGTTAAAATGCAGAGATTTGTTGCTTTCATTTCTGAAACACATTTCCCACTAAAATTATTTTCTGCCTCAGTTTTCCTTTAAATATCTTACAGCAAAGTCACCAAAAAATTCCTGTGAGTGGTCCTCTCTTTCTCTTGTCAACTTCAAAGACTGATCAGAAAATTGCGTGTAAACAACTCTGACCTGTTCGGGAATAGGCAGGAATTTATTTAATTTTATTATTTAGCATTACACGAAAACAATTTTTTTTTCAATTCATAACTGGCAGAACTTACAGATTAAAACGTACAAATTTGTTGCCCTAGATTGTGTAAGGGCTGCGTTGGAAGGCTCAAAATTCGGATGATCTGTTAACAGATTGTTTAGAGAGTAGCACCTTTTAACCCACTCCAGTATTCTTGTCTGGAGAATTCCATGGACCAAGGAACCTGGTGGGCTACAGTCCATGGAGTCGCAAAGAGTCGGACACGACTGAGCGACTTCACTAACTTCACTTACCTTTCACATCCAAGCTGATTAACGGAAAACGTGCCGGCTACAAAATAACATTTTGACTACATTTCTGCCCTGGTGATAAGTATTACAGTAAGGAACAGGTACCTACAAAATTGTCCATTTGATGACTCAAAACCCCAAGAGAACCAAGGTCATCGTGAGCGCCCAGTCTGTGAAGTCAGTGATCTGCTGGTTAGGCAGCGTCCAGCCCTGCCGGAGCTTCACTGGTCCTCCCTCTGTGGGGCCTTGGTGGGAAGAGGCCTGACTGGGGGTCGGATTCCCACCGGCCCTCCCCACCGCTTCCAAGATCAACAGGCAAGTTTCCTCCCCTGGGGCCTCATTTTCTTACGCACCGCATGGAAATGGTGGAAATATCTCCAAGGTCTTTACCTACCGTAAGTGCCTTATTTAAAAGGCAATTCTATAAATTACTGATTAAATTAGATGCCCTAATATTGGAACCCGCGGGCCTTCGTGAAAGAACGAATTTTGGTTCCTTTCCCTTTCAAAAGCTACAACTATCTCTTCAGCAGGCGCCTCCTGTCAAAGCAAGGCCATCAAAACCTCTCAGGAGGCGACGCTCGAGCCAGCCTCGCGGTGAGGCAGCGGCAGGCTGGGAGGCCGGCCTGGAGCAACCTCCGCAGCTCCCTGTCTCCCTCTAGGCTCGTCAAGCAGTTGTCTTCCGGGTCACGCCCAGCCCACCTCAGTCTCCTGGCCTGCGTGTCCTCGTTCCTCACCGCCCTCCCCGTGACTCAGGGGTACTGTGTCCAGCATGCCTGGCCATCCCAGACCTCCCCTCACCACCCCTAGCGCCCCCAACTTACCCCGACTTATCCCAGCGTACCCCAGCTCTCTCAGTATACCCGGAGGGCTCCCAGCATACCCGGAGGGCTCCCAGCATACCCTGCGTGCTCCCAGCATGCTCTGAGCGTTCCCAGCATGCCGCTGTGTACCCGTTTTTTCCCGCCATAGCTTTTGCTGGCACGAGCCGTTCATCCTGCACCCACAGTTCTCTGAGAGAGAGCTGGCTTTGGCGTTGGTGTGGCCCGGCGAGAGGCCGCTGCCGTCTCCCAAACATGGGTAGGATGCATCCTCAGGGTATGGCCTCTGGGGAGGGCCAGTGGCTGAGCCCTGCGCTTCCCACTTTTGTTGTGTTTGTTTGAACTTGTCCATAATAAAAAGCTTTGAAAAATTATGTTTTTCAGAAGTAAAATAGATTGAAGATACAGGTCACAAATTGGGAGAAGATATTTTCATGAAAGTAATCCACGAGTGGTTAGTTTACAGACTATATAAAGAACTCTCACAGATCAGTTAGGGTAAGACTGTGTCATAGAAAAAAGCAGTAAAGTCATGAAAAGGTATTTTGCAGAAAGAAGAAGGATGGATTATAAGCCTGTGGAAAGGTACTCAACATTGTTAATTATTAAATCTAAATAAGACCACAATGAGATACCATAGAATTGACAAAATAGTAAGGATTCAGGATTAGATCTCCCATACACTGTTGGAATGCAGGAATGAAAATTTGAAAATAATGTGATGTTATCTTCTGAAGTTGAATACTGTAACATATCCTTAGACTTAGAAATTCCTTCTATACATTTCCCCTAAAGAGATTCTTGCATATGTGCACCAAGAAATATATTTGTAGCAGCATTGTTTGTTGAATAAAGTAAGTAGCTACAAGCAAACAAAATCCCAAATGTTCAGGGACAAGGGAATTGATAGATAAACTGAATTATATTTACATAATTATATATTATATGGCAAACAAAAAATAATGAACTACAGTTATGTGCAACAACATGGGTAAACCTTTCAAAATTAAAATGTGAACGTATCATAAGTATACACTTGGATGGTTTTTCAAAGATGACCATCCTTATATACCTACCACCCAGATCTAACAGTAGAACATTATCTGTATCTAGGAAGTGCCCCTGGTGCCCTCTCCTAGTCACTTACCCACTTCGTTCAAGGTAACTAGTGTCCCAGCTGCTAACACCATACATTCATTTTGCTTGTTTTGAAGCCTTATATTAATGGAATCATACAACACAAACTCTCCTGTGTCTAACTTCTTTTGTAAATATGTTCATAAGATTCATCCATATTGTTGAGGGTAGCAGTATTTTATTCATTTTCATTGCTGGATAGGATTCCATTGTGTGTATATATTTATCCTTTCTCAGGTTGAAGGACAATTAGATTGCTTCTAGTTTAGAATTATTATGAAGAATGCTGCTAAGACCATTCTTGTTCACTTGTTATGTTCACCTTCTGTTCAATATGGATGAATTTTTAAAAACATGATTTTGAATGGGGAGGAAAGTTCCAGAAGACTACATACAGTATAATCCCATTTTTATAAAGCTCAATCATTCTCCAAGAAAGCTGAATAAATTGTTTGTTGATATATCCATATGTGAAAAACTGTTTGTTTTTTACTAAACAAGGATATGATGAACAGAATTCAGGATAACAATGATTTTGGGGAGGCAGAAGAATGGGATATGGGAAGAGCCCACAGTCCCCAAGTCAAGTGAAGTGTTCATTGGTATTTATTTATAGTACTTGACAGAACTCTGTTAGCCTTTGCCCTGCTTCATTATGTACTCTAAGGCCAAACTTGCCTGTTACTCCAGGAATATCTTGACTTCCTACTTTTGCATTGCAGTCCCTTATGAATAAAAGGACATCTTTTTTTCATGTTAGTTCCAGAAGGTCTTGTAGGTCTTCATAGAACTGTTCAACTTCATCTTCTTCAGCATTAGTGGTTGGAGCATAGACTTTGATTATTGTGATATTGAATAGTTTGCCTTGGAAATGAACTGAGATCATTCTGTCGTTTTTGAGATGGCTTCAAAATATATATGCACATCCACTTACATCCATAAGTAATGATATAATGTTTTATACATAATGATGTAATGTTTCATACATAATAGTGGCCACCTGGACTCCCAGGTGGTAAAGGATCCCCCTGACAGTGCGGGAGACATGAGACACAGGTTTGATGCCTGGGTTGGGAATATCCCCTGGAGGAAAGCATGGTAACCCACTCCAATATTCTTACCTGGAGAATCCCATGAACAGAGGAACCTGGTGGGCTACAGTCCATAGGGTTGCAAAGAGTCAGACACAACTGAAGTGATTTAGCATGGCAAGAATTTTCATTCAGGGAAAAGCTTTCCTCACAGGATACGTTTTGATGACAAGCTTGTTGGCAAGCCTATTCAGTTTTCCAGATGTGAGTTACTTAAGTTTTCCTTTATCTCACTCACAGGCCTTCAAGATGGGATGGAATCCTAAGAATTCTGCCTGATAGTTTGACTGTATATATCTCTTTTATGAAGATTAAGATCATTGTATTGGTTTAGATCATGTTTAAATTGTAAGGACATGTAAAGATAAGACCATATTTTGTGAGTAGCCAAGTACCACATGAAGATGAAGGTCACTTCTAAAAAAACTACCTGGGGAAGAGTCAGCTGTTTAGACAGGAAACGAACTAAGATGACAAAACTTTGATGTTTTTAGGGCTGGGTTCAGCATGTCTGGAATTTGAAGAATTTGGATGTCTAAGATTGTGTTTATGGGCAGAATAGAATCCGCTGCCCTCCACAGAGGGAGAGGTGGACTTGGTAGGGTGGGTCCCTAAAAAGGGTCCTCACTGGGTGTGAACCTCACAATCACTTGAGGTTTGACAATCAGACAGACTTTTTGAATTGGCATCACTGCTTCGTTTATTAAAGGTGAATGAACTATGTCAGGTTCTCATAGTGGAAAATTCTTTTATGCTATCCTTTAGTAAAGTTCATTTGAATATTCTGGCCCTGCTGTAAAAAGTAAAGAAAGGGTTCTGTCCACACGGATGCCGTGAGTCAAGGAGACAACGTAGTATTCACAGGAGGTGCTGGGGAGTGGTATTAGCAATCAGAGAGAGAATCGGGGACAGAAGGATATGGAGGGATGCAGTTGTGTACCTGGAAACAAACGTTTACTTCCTTCTAGCATCAGCCTCAGAGGTCCGGTGTGTGCATGAGTGCTAAGTAGCTTCAGTCATGTCTCACTCTTTGCGACCCTATGAACTGGGCCCTCCAGGCTCCTCTATCCGAGGAATTCTCCAGGTAAGAATACTGATGTGGGTTGCCATGCCCTCCTCCAGGGGATCTTCCCAACCGGGGATCAAACTCATGTCTCATTACGTCTCCTGCATTGGCAGGTGGGTTCTTCACCACCAGTGCCACCTGGGAAGCCCTAGAAGTCCTAGATGGCAATTTTATTCTGGTAGGAAACTGAGTTTCTGACATTGGGCTCCCAGCTTTTGAGAACTCTACTGCCCTCTCCATCATCCATGTTACTTGTCCGCTTAGGTGGCTGCATTGAGCACCTTGGACTAGTGTTAGATCCACTCATGCATTTTAAATTATTTACATTCTGCTGTTTGCTTTTACCTTCTTTCCCCTAATTTCCTAGACGTAGAAAGAAATAAAACAGTTTTACTTTTAATAGTGTTACCAAACCAGGTTTGTCTGACATGCAGCAAGCCAAGTGAGGTTTGGCAGAGAAAGGGTTTATTCTCAAGGCCACCAAGTGAGGAGATGGGAGAACAAATCTCATATCCACTTCCCCAAAGACAAGGCACTTGGGATAGTTATGGGATAAATCTGAGGTGGCAGGAACATGGGGAAATTGGAGGCAAGAAAGATGAGGTAATCATCATTGTGCAGCTAAGCCCCAGACTTCTTCATGGGACACATGCTCAGAAAATAGTGGCATTAGTATGTTTTTAGGGTGGAGGTTTTGGCCTTCTGATATTAAAGGTCACCAAGTGGACACTTTTACCATCTTAACCAGTCTTAACTGGCTGGAGATTGAACTGGACACAGCTGACTCCAAGTTCCTAATAAACAACTTGGGCAAACATCTCTTATTATTTAGGCCATGTGACACTTAGAGACACACAAGATTTTGTAAAAACAAAGCAAACTTGATCAGTGATAACAGGTTACAGGTGTAATAGAACTAACTGATGATTACCCCCAGTTTCAGTAGGTGTCCATGGAAACATTAAAAACTTGGCTGATGTGCTTGCTAGTGACAGATAAATTAATCCATATTTCTCAGTATGATCATTGTATAATTATGGTTTTTCCAAGTACTTACGTGCCCTCTTCTGTATCACATTTATACCCTTATTCATTCAAAAATATTTGTTGAGCATGTGCTGAGTGCCAGGCACTGTGCTAGGCTCTGAAGATACAGATGTGACTAACCATTCCTGTCCTTGAGGAACTTTTGGTCCAGTGAGAAAGACAGACGCATAGACCGGTGATGTAGTGAGTGCATGATAGTCATGACTGGAGAATAAAGGAGCAGAAAGAGCATTACTTGGAGGGGAAGGGTGTGGTCAGCACATGCCTCAACCACAATTGACTCCTAAGCTGAGTCAAAAAGGGCCCTGAGTCTTTGGCCAGGATAAAGGGGGTAAGGAGAATAAGGGGTAAGAGGTAAACTTATGGTAAGTGTCAGAGGACAGGGCTTGAGCAAGGATACGAAAGTGAGGAAAGAATGCTACATGTGGGAGATCTAAAAATAGCTCACTGTTGCTAGGCTATGAGGCTTGAGGGGGAAATGACAAAGGATGAAGCTAGAGAGAGGAAGCAGATATTGAATGATCTTGGATGATCTTCAAATTCTCGGTAAGGAATTTGAACTTTAGTTGTTGAGAGACATTGGAAGGTATTAGACAAGTAGTCTCAGATGGTAAAGAATCTGCCTGCAATGCAGGAGACCTGGGTTCCATCCCTAGGTTGGAAAGATCCCCCTGGAGATGGGAATGGCGACCCAATCCAGTACTCTTGCCTGAAAAATCCTATGGGCAGAGAAGCCTGGCAAGCAACAGTCCTTGGGGTTGCAAGAAGTCAGAAACAACTGAACAACTGATACTAACACAGACAAGTAATGGTGTGATCAGATTTTAGTTTGGGGTTCACTACTGATGGAAGATGGGTCTCAGAAGTTCAAGACTAGAGGCTGGAAGAAACTGTAAGGGAGTTATTGTAAACAGATAGGCAGCTAATCATGAAAGGCAAATCTGGGGCAGTGGTAGTAGGGATAAAGAGGAGATTGACCTGTATGATTCCCAGTCTTCTGACTTGGCGGGCCTGATGATGATAACACCATCAGCTGTATTTCATGGAACTGTCTAGAACCCTGAACTCTACAAAGTTAAATAGTGTATCTGGAATTTTCCTTATCTATACAATTTTACTCTGTTCTATTTACTTGTGCTGGAGACAAAAAGATTTTTTAAAGTAAATTTAATATTGCAATCATGTACAATCAAACATTTAATCTTTTTATTTATCTGCTCCTACTTATAGATGGACATATCAAATACAAGGAAATATGTAGGAATACATACAAGGAAATATGCCTAAGAATGTATTTACAATAAGATTTCCTACATATAATTAACTTGCCTTGTCTGAAGTTACTGAGGAAAGTTGCCCTACCTCAGCAGTGAACTTACGACAATTGTATTCTTTGTGATCAGATGATATCTGTTACTCTCTGCTCCTCATTTCTGCCTCTGATAGTCAATTGATTAGAGATTATCAGCTGACATTCTGGTGTGTTATAAATATACATGGGTAAAAACAACTTCAAGTCTATTTTAAAGTGAATGAAACTTTAAAAAATTTAGTAAGCTTTGGAAATTATTGCTAATAGATGGGGAATTGTTTGGAAATCAACTACATAGGGTATATATACTAGAGAAATAGATGTTTTTTAGAAGGGAACAGTTAACCTATGCTAACGTGTTTAAAAGACACGGGTTTAATGCAAATTATCCATGTAGATAATTTGAATAGGAGTCCATCTTTGTAGAGTGCCCATTTGTCAAGGGAGTCTGCTTTCTATGGTTATAGCAAATATAATGATTTGTCAATGGGAAGTAAGGAGCTGCTGAAGTGTGTCTTGTGCATGAGTGGCAGGATTAGAAAAGGAATAAAAACTGTAATGATGTTTCCTTATTTTTGCTTTTTAGTAGAAGAGTGAGTGCTTTCTACAGTGTATTTCACCTGAGGAACTTCAGGAGTAGAGTTGGTTTTCTAAATGTTTATTAAAATTTCTTTGCTGGAGGGAACGTCAGTAAGTTTGTAAATATCTGTATTCCTTTTAATTTCTTAGATTTGTTTCTAAGTTTGCCTAAATTTACTTCACCTTGGTGGAGATGGAAATGGCATCCCACTCCAATATTCTTGCCTGCAGAATCCCGTGAACAGAGGAGCCAGGGGGCTTGCGGTCCATGGGGTCACCCAGAGTTGGACACGACTGAAGCGACACACTTCACCTTGGAGCACTTGCCATGTAGGATGTTTCCTTATACCTGCGTTTTAAAGTAAGGAAGTCTTGTTTGATAATAGCATTTGCTAAAATCTGTTGATTTCTTTCTTTGTGCCAGACCCTGGCTAAACATTTTATAAGCAATGGCTTAGAGAGTTAACTGATTAGGTCATAGTCATGCATCTGATAGTTACTAAACCAGGAATGGGATCCAGGTCACTGGCACCAAAGTTTTGTTTTGAGCACTTCTGGAGTTATTCAGAACTGGCACTGAAATCTGAAAGTCTTGACATTGAATTATAGAGGCAGTTGTCACTGACACACTGCTCTGCCAGAGTCCTGGGGAGATTCAGCAGACCTGGGAACTGTTAGGGAAATGGTATACATAACCTGATTTACTGTTTTTAAAGCATTTAGGACAGTTCTAACACTAAATACATGTATTTGAAAAGAAGAAAAATCCCAATTCAGTCATCTAAACTCTTACCTCAAGAAACTAAGAAAAAAAAGGAATCCAAAGCAAGCAGAAGACTCAATAAAGAGCAGAAATCAGCGACCAAAAAAAGAAAAAAGAAAAACACTGGAGAAAATCAGAGGCCAGAATCAAGCTCTTTGAAACAAATCAGTAAACCAACAACCTTGTAAATTAACTATACTTTTTAAATTTATTATTTTATTTATTTTAATTGGAGGCTAATTACTTTACAATATATGGTGGTGTTTTACATACATCGACATGAACCAACCATGGGTGTACGTGTCCCACCATCCTGAAGCCCCTCCACACCCCTCCCACCCCACCCATCTGGGTTGTCCCGGAGCACTGGGTTTGGGTGCCCTGCACCATGCATCGAATTTGTACTGGTCATCTATTTTACATATGGTAATATACATGTTTCAATACCATTCTCTCTTATCCTCCCACTTTTGCCTTCTCCCACATAGTCCAAAAGTCTGTTATTTACATCTGTGTCTCTCTTGCTGTCTTGCATATAGGGTCATTGTTACTGTCTTTCTAAATTCCATATATATGCATTAATATACTGTATTGCTGTTTCTCTTTCTGACTTACTCTGTATAATAAGGCTCCAGTTTCATTCACTTCATTAGAACTGACTCAAATGCATTTTTATAGATGAGTAATATTCCATTATGTATATGTACCACAACTTCCTTATCCATTTGTCTGCCAATGGACATCTAGGTTGTGTCTGTGTCCTAGCTATTGTAAAAGTGCTGCAGTGAACACTGGGGTACATATGTCTCTTTCAATTCTGGTTTCCTCAGTGTGTATGCCCAGCAGTGACATTGCTGGGTCATATGGCAGTTCTATTTTTTTTTTTTAAAGGAATCTCCACACTGTTCTCCATAGTGGCTGTACTAGTTTGCATTCCCACCAACAATGTAAGAGTGTTCCCTTTTCTCCACACCCTCTCCAGCATTTATTGTTTGTAGGCTCTTTGATGGCAGTCATTCTGACAGACGTGAGATGGTACCTCATTGTGGTTTTGATTTGCATTTCTCTGATAATGAGTGATGTTGAGCATCTTTTCATGTGTTTGTTAGCCATCTGTATGTCTTCTTTGGAGAAATGTCTGTTTAGTTCTTTGGCCCATTTTTTGATTGGGTCGTTTATTTTTCCAGAATTGAGCTGCATGAGTTGCTTGTATATTTTGGAGATTCTTTGTCAGTTGCTTTGTTTGCTATTTTCTCCCATTCTGAAGGCTGCCTTTTCACCTTGCTTGTAGTTTCCTTTGTTGTGCAAAAGCTTTTAAGTTTAATTAGGTTCCATTTATTTATTTTTGTTTTTATTTCCATTATTCTGGGAGGTAGATCATAAAGGCTCTTGCTGTGATCTATGTTAGAGAGTGTTCTGCCTATGTTTTCCTCTAACAATTTCATAGTTTCTGGTCTTACATTTAGATCTTTAATCTATTTTGAGTTTATTGTTGTGTATGGTGTTAGGAAGTATTCTAGTTTCATTCTTTTACAGGTGGTTGACCAGTTTTCCCAGCACCACTTGTTATAAACAGATTGTCTTTTCTCCATTGTATATTTTTGCCTCCTTTGTAATTTTTTTTAAAAGCACATTGAGAAAAAGAAAAGAATTCCGTATCATAAGCAGGTAGGGCTTATTTCAGAGATGCAAGGCTGGTGCAGTATTTGAAAACCTGACACACTCCATCATGGGAAATGGATAAAGAGTATTTGGAATGTTTGGGAACTTGTCTTCTTGGCCTTGCATTCCTACGGAGGCGGCAAGCAAGGGGGTAGGGAACCAGCAGCAGCAGCAGCAGCGAGGGGAAAGAGCTGTGCCGGTTCTTGTTTCCTGGGGGATGACCTACACGTGTAATCCACCGTGTCCTTCTTTTGGAAGTAAATACGGTTGCTGAAAAAGCCCTTAACAAAAATCAGACTACTTTTTTTTTTTTTTTTACCGTGAGGGAATTCTCTCCCCCGCCTTTTTAAAATGCAACATTTGTAAATCTTCCTATGGATGCTCAGGGGAGGTACTGCTCCAGGCTCTATTCCAAGAGCTATCAATCCTTTAGAATTTACCTTAAACAATATACCAGTGAGAAAAGACAGAAGACACTAATAGAAGTACTCGCCTACTCAGGGGTCAAGAGAGAATCACTTCAGAGCGACCGACGTCCTCAGAACCTTCACTTGAGGCCGCTTTTGCTTTTACGGAACAGTTCCCGGGTTGTTCTTTTTCTTTTTCTCTCCTGAGAGAATGGGGCAGTTCTGGGGCGGAGGGGATGGGTCAAGCAGTCACAGAGCCCTGCTCCGGGCGGCACACTCGTCCGGCCGAGGCGAAGCGGGAAACTGCGTGTCCACGTCCACTAGGTTGCTCTGCATCTCTCAGCCTCGCAGTCCACGCCTACACTCGCTGCGGAAGGACTCTTACAAATTAACGAATGCCCAGGTCTGACCGGATTGGGAAACCGCGGCGATTTTGATGTGGGGTCGCTGCCCTGCACAAGGTGGACTCTGCGCGGGTCACCCTGCCCGGTCCACGCGATCCCGGACGCTGACCCCGGCGCCACCGCCTTCGGCGCAGACGCGGGGAAACCCCGCCCCCCCCGCGCTTTCCTAAGCTGTGATTGTGAAGGGCACCTTCTTCAGCCAATCAACACCCTCTCACTGGGCGGGGCCCGCCGGGTTGGTGGAGAGTGTCGGTCGGGGGCGGGGCCCTTGAGCGACAGGAATTCTGACCAATCATCGGAGGCCATGCTTCGGCCCCTCCCCTCCTCCGTGTGGGCAGCCCTGCCTGGGAGCCGATCCCGACAGCGGGGAACGTCCCAGGGCGAGTTCGCAGAGACTGCCGCTCTTCTCCGTCCCGCTCTCCTGCTGCCTTTAGGGCCTTAGGCTCGCTGCCTTAAGAAATGGCCGAGGAGTCCAGCAAAGCCGTTAAGTACTACACGCTGGAAGAAATCCAGAAGCACAACCACAGCAAGAGCACCTGGCTGATCATACACTACAAAGTGTACGATTTGACCAAATTTTTGGAGGAGGTGAGTTGATGGAGGCAGGATGCCGACCGGGGCTTGGGGGGCTCCCTGCCGAGACTTGCCTCGGGGGGGCGGGGTTGATCTGCGCACGACTCCGCGTGCACACCTGAGTGTGGTCACCCGCGCGGGAGCAGCGGGCTCTGCACACCTGGGAGCTCTCCCCTCATCCACACGCCTGTGTCTCTGCCTCCCTCTGTGTGCGCGCTCCCTGAGTGCACAGCTAGGAGCGGACTCCGAATTTGTACCCCTGAGTCTGCGCGCCCGCATGTGCGTCCCCGGAGGCTGCACCTCCGGGTGTGAACACCTGGGGGCGACCGGAGGTGCATAGGTGCCGCGGCCAGGTAAGCCAGTTTCGCAGCCCGCGGCGCGCCCTCGTAGGGCTGGAGCCGCCTCCCAGGACCGTGCGCGGGCAGGTGGGAGATCCCCGCTTCGCACTTAGTGGGGAGCAAAGTCGCACGTGGAGTTGAGGGCGCAACCACGGGAGGATTTTTGAAGGTCCTGTTTATCTTGAGTTTGCATAGGCCAGGTCTTCATCTAGGACCAAGGTCTTGCCACTTATTCCTGGAGTGCATTCCTAAATGGAGCCAGTGCCACTCCGCCATCCACGCCCAGTAACCCACTGTTCACCTAGAAGGCCCCCAGTGACACTCAAGGTATCCAGTGCTGACTTCAGTAAGGCGCAGTACTGGACTCCAGCGAGCGGCTGGGGTGGGGGTTGGGGTTAGGGGGGCGAGGGGCTGAGGAAGGAGGGAGGGACAGATAAGTGAAAAGAACCAGTGCGACTTCACCCTTAAACAGCTTTGAGAATTGTAAAATAGCTGGGTAACTTAGAGGAAAGCAATCCTTTGCCTTTATTCTTTGCATTGATTATAGTTTTTTGCAATAAATTCTAAGAGGTTTTTGTTTGCTACCTCTGGCTGTTTTGTCACTGTGTGTGTGTGGGAGGGGGGTTCAGTCATAAATTTTTTTTTAAACAATTTTTTATTGGAGTATAATTGCTTTACAATGTTGTGTTAGTCTCTGCTCTACAACCAAGTGAATCAGCTGTATGTATACATACATCCCCTCCCCAAATATATATATATTTTTTTTCAAATATATTTTTTAACTGAAGGATAATTGCGTTACAGAATTTTGTTTTTCTGTCAACATGTAACACTCTCCTTCATTCCCCCAGACAATAAACAGGAATGTTTAGTGATGGGAATTCTTTACATAGCTTGTGAGAAAAATGAAGATAGAGGCCTGGTCTGAGCTGGATCACAATTTGTATCAGAATCATTTGTTTTGCAGAGAATGTTTAATTTTTTTAAAGTTTGAAGTTGTTTATTAGTAACATATTTTACTGTTAAATTGTCACTAGGTGATGTACCAGAAGATAAAATAGTGTCTTGATGTGGTTAAGAGTGGTTTATAGCAGAGGGTCAGATCTATCCTATCCCTTCTGCTGAGTGACAGAGCTCATTTGCTATTAGACTTTCTTGAACAATCTTGCATCATAACATCAGGCCTAATTGATACTAGATGTCTACTTACAACTGTTCCTTCCCCATTCCCAGGGTGTGTATAATTGTGGGATTTTAAAATCCAGTGTGTATATACTTTATTGGTGTCTATAAAAAAGAATAGTATGAAAAAGTAAAAGTGAAGTCGCTCAGTCATCTCCGACTCTTTGTGACCTCATGGACTGTAGCTGGCCAGGCTCCTCCGTCCAGGCAAGAGTACTGGAGTGGGTTTCCATTTCCTTCTCCAGGGAATCTTCCCGACACAGGGATCGAACCCAGGTCTCCCGAAGTGTAGGCAGATGCTTTACCATCTGAGCCCCCAGGATGTTTTATTTAATGAAGCACTTGCCACTTTTTCTCTTTTGTAGGGTCTGTCGTGTTCCTTGCTGCCTCGCTCACCAGCCGTCAGTATCATTCCCACCCCCTCACCCCCACCCCAAGACAACCAAACATGTCTCCAACTCTTTTCAAATGTCCCCTTGGGGAGAACAAAGTCACTCCTATTCGAGAATCACTGCCCTAAGGTATATCTTGCATGACTTTTTTAATGGATACATTTCTCAGAAGATAAGAAATTATTAAACTGTACTATAAACCATTTACTTTTATATTTAATTCTTATGAGGCAGAAAAAGAATTGCACAAAGTTTCTAAACAAAACCAGAAGAGATGCAAACCAGCTGTTCAGTGGGTCAATTAGCTGCCAGCAAATTCTGTTTATTTCTCACTCAGTTTTCAAGACTCTGTTTAAAAGGAGCTTGGGGAGAACGTCTCTCAAGAAAAAATGTGATGAATTGCATTTATCACTAATATTTGATAACTAATACTTGTAGCTAGGTAACTCAAAACTACTGTTTGTAGTAAGATAAATAAAAACAAATTTATAGTGGTTCCTGTATACCAAACTTTTCTTTGTGCTTCCCTTGTAGCTCAGTCGGCAAAGAATCTGCCTGCAGTGCAGGAGACCCGGGTTCGATCCCTGGGTTGGGAAGATCCCCTGGAGAAGGAAGTGGCAACCCACTCCAGTATCCTTGCCTAGAAAATCTCATGGACAGAGGAGCCTAGTGGGCTGCAGTCCATGGGGTCACAAAGAGTCAGGCACGACTGAGCGACTAACAAAGTGCTCCTTCAGAGCATATTATCTACCTGTAACGCATTTGAGTTAGTTCTAGTGAGGTGGATGAACTTAGGGGCAAAGTAAGTCAGAGAGAAAAACAAACATTGTATATTAATGCATATATATATATATATATATATATATATATGGAATCTTGAAAAGTGGTATTGATGAACCTATTTTCATGGAAGGAATGGAGACACAGACAGACAGCAGACTTGTGGACACTCGGGAATGGGAGAGAGTGGGACAGGTTGGGAGAGCTGCTTTGAAACATGCACATCACCATATGTAAAACAGATAGCCAGTGGGAGTTTTTCTTTGACACAGGGAGCTCCAATCCTGTGCTCTGTGATAACCTAGAGGATGAGGTGGGAGGTGGTGGGGAGGTTCAGGAGGGAGGGGACACATGTGTACCTACGACTGATTCTCGTTACTGTGTGCCAGAAACCAACACAACATCAAAAAGCAGTTATCCGCCAACTGAAAAAAAAAACAAGTCTACCTTGACTTGAGTTTGGAACACCACTACCCTCTGGTACTAACACCGTTCCTTTTGATCAGTGGTCCAGAATCTGCTGAGTTCTTATCATGGAGACTGTGGAACTTGAGAGGAAAGAGATACCATTTCTATTCTCAAAAGCTTCTGTTTGAGGAAGCAGGAATAGCACAGTAAACAATGCAGTGGGCAGGGATTTGAGCACAGAAAGCTCTGCTCTACCAGCCAGAGTCTAGTTCAGTGACGGGGCGTGGACCCAGAGCAGCTGTGTGAGGCGTCAGGCTTGGGCTCTGGTGAGTAGGACCTAATGTCGGCGGTAACAGATGGGCTTCCAGATCTGGTCTGGGTTAGGGTAAGCACCAGGACAGTGGCTGTGCAGTGGGGCCTCTCAGAGGGGTGAAGGCATGCAGCGAGGAGAGAGGCTCACCAGCCAGGTCTCTAGCTGGTCATCGGCAGTGCTGGCTTCCCAGAACATCTGATTTTACTTCGGAGGGGCCAGCTGTTCTATTTGCTGTTATCACTGGTTTCCCTTTCTGGGACCATCTCTGATTAATGCCACGTCATAGTCTCTGGCTTCTTGCCCCCTAGCCCAGCCATCCTGATTCCCTGTGACTTCCTGCATCTTAAACACACATTTCATTCAGAGACCTGCAGGGGGCTCTGCCAGTATTTCACTTCTTCCTAGACTCCTCCTATTCCATCACTTTATTATTCCAGTGCTGTTTAATTCCATCCCTTCTTCTGAAACAAAGAGCCCGGAAGATCTGTTTCTCCCTGCTTGCACTGCTTCCTTTCTTTCATCATTTAAACTCCAGAAATTCATTAAAGTTTCACATGCTAACTAGAGAATATTCTGTGTGTGTGTGTTCAGTTGCTAAGTCTCTCAGTCCAACTTTTTTTTTTTTAAGTTTTTTTTTTTCCATTTACTTTTATTAGTTGGAGGCTAATTTCTTTACAATATTGTAGTGGTTTTTGTCATACATTGACATGAATCAGCCATGACTTCTTAATATCATAATGAAATTAGTGCTGACCTTGTGGTCCCTAGAATCTGTCTTAAAGTGCCATTGTGTTCCAGGATATGAAGGATTTAATGAAGGATAAAATTTGGAAAGTGAATTTTATTTATAATGCCTAAGTTTNGGACGGGACTCCTTCCCGGGACGGGACTCCTTCCCGGGACGGGACTCCTTCCCGGGACGGGACTCCTTCCCGGGACGGGACTCCTTCCCGGGACGGGACTCCTTCCCGGGACGGGACTCCTTCCCGGGACGGGACTCCTTCCCGGGACGGGACTCCTTCCCGGGACGGGACTCCTTCCCGGGACGGGACTCCTTCCCGGGACGGGACTCCTTCCCGGGACGGGACTCCTTCCCGGGACGGGACTCCTTCCCGGGACGGGACTCCTTCCCGGGACGGGACTCCTTCCCGGGACGGGACTCCTTCCCGGGACGGGACTCCTTCCCGGGACGGGACTCCTTCCCGGGACGGGACTCCTTCCCGGGACGGGACTCCTTCCCGGGACGGGACTCCTTCCCGGGACGGGACTCCTTCCCGGGACGGGACTCCTTCCCGGGACGGGACTCCTTCCCGGGACGGGACTCCTTCCCGGGACGGGACTCCTTCCCGGGACGGGACTCCTTCCCGGGACGGGACTCCTTCCCGGGACGGGACTCCTTCCCGGGACGGGACTCCTTCCCGGGACGGGACTCCTTCCCGGGACGGGACTCCTTCCCGGGACGGGACTCCTTCCCGGGACGGGACTCCTTCCCGGGACGGGACTCCTTCCCGGGACGGGACTCCTTCCCGGGACGGGACTCCTTCCCGGGACGGGACTCCTTCCCGGGACGGGACTCCTTCCCGGGACGGGACTCCTTCCCGG